ACAAGGTTTTAAAAGAATAGCTTACCATAAAACAGAAAGTCCACTTCAGAACTGACCTGCTCATAATATTTGGGGCAAAATTTGTTGACAGTTGACCATGATTTGGTAAGTTTGTCTTTATTCTTGTAGTAATTAGTGAGATATTTTACTAGAGTGTGAACAGATTATTTAATAATTATGTAGTAATTAACATTACCAGACCCCTGTATAATGAGCAGGCATTGCAGAAACAATAGCCCGCATTATTTATTCTAACCAGAGATGCTATCCTACATCATATGTTTTTAAAGCTATTCCTATAATTCCTACTAGAGATTCCCTCATGGAAAATGACAGCGAAACTGGCAGTGTTACTCTCTACCCAGTTGATTTACAGCCTGAGCCATGCCTTTAGCAATCCGTTCCTGTTTCCAGAACTGATTTCTCGACCTGTAAACATTTCAGATTGAAGGGGGGGGGTACATTGCCGAGAAGGCGAGAGAAAAGCAGAAAGACAGTGAGGGGGGAGGGGGTTAAAAGCTGGAGGAGGAGCATCTTCTAATCATCTCATGACTTCAGTAGAGGAACAGGAAAATGTTTTTAGACGTATTCAAAATCTGAACTCCATAGTTTTAATCGAGACCTTTAGATGTTAACTGACTTGTCGGTATGATTTCTGGATTCTAGTGAGGTTGTGTTTGTATTCTTCCTTTAGAGTGTCTGTGGTAGTTGCCTCTTCCTCCAACTTTTGGAGGTGGGAGGGCTCAGCTGATGTCATTGAGTGCAGCAGGCTGAGCTTGAAAGAGGCCCTTTGTTGGCAGCTGAAGCACGAGTAGTCCCTGTGCCTCAGATACACACTCACTTTCGACAGTAGAGAGGAATGGCACCGCTCAGACTGCCCTGAGACCTACTCAACCGACACATCTACAAGTCTATCAACCTTTTGGACCATATTTACCTTGCTGATGGTTGTTCGATCTTTCAAAAGTGGATTTAACTGAAGGTCCCAAAGTGAGAGAGGGAAAAAATGGAGACGCTCTCAAGAAAAAGCTGGTAGACGTTGCTGGACAGCACACTGTTTCAGTTTTGAAAGGAAAGAAAAGAAAACAAAAGAAAAGGGGGATTTACGGTGCCTGGAAGGACTCGGGAAAAGAAAATCTGTATATATTTTGGCTTGGTGGTATTTCTATTTTTGTATTTTTTTTCCTTTTCGTGGACATATGTAGACGAGAAACTTTCAAGGGACACCTGATTTGAACAAGAACCATTTTAAGCGGGAAAGTAAATAAAGCAAATGAAAATGTTGGAGATATGCCTGAAATTGGTGGGGTGTAAATCTAAGAAGGGTCTTTCGTCATCCTCCAGCTGTTACTTGGAAGGTAAGCTTATTTCATGACACTATTTCTTAGCTTGGATCCTGCTTTTACAGTTACATTATAATGACAAAAGTCAGAAAAGGGCAAGAAAGACCAAATGAGCAACAGGAGGTGGATAAGATGATTGGATATCACAGCTTTTTGTTTCAACAATGACTTCTGAGCTGTGGAAACTAAAGAATGGGGAGGGGAAAGCAAAGAGTAAGCACAGGGGAGGGGGAAAGAGGCCAGACACACTGGCTAGCTGTAGAGGAAAAAATGGGGGGGGAAGATGGAGAAGAGAATACAAGGAAATCTGACTCCATGCCATGTCCCACTTAATTCTTGTTTATGAGGAGTGGGGCTCTAATCTCAGTCTGCTTTCTCTTTTCACTTCTCTGCTATGTTCCATTACCTTAATCTTGTTCACTGTGTCTATAAAGACTTTAAAGAGGCATTTAGACTTAAACCACGGTTCCTTTTTCTGCTATCATATGTAGTTGATTTGTGGATGTGAAACGAAACAAAAAAGTTAGCATGAAAACACATCTGTGCCTTCCTTACTCTTCATACAATGTTTTAGGCTATTAGTCATGTTCCTGAAGTTGTTAATTTGTCAAAGACTTTAGATCCAGATGATCTAATGGAGACAGATGTTCTGGTACACTCCTTTTGGAAGAACGGAATGGTTACCCATATCTTATACGTAACCAAGTCATACAAACAAATACAGATATTATGCTGAGATGTTCCATCCAAGTTTGAGCTTAAGGAGGCCTTGGTTATTTTTTTCTTACAAACTACTTGAAATCGTTGACATAATTGTGGTCGGTGCAGTCAGAAGGGTAAAAATTGTGTTATTTTCCTCCTCCCAAAATATGAGTTGTGTAATTTGAATCTGTTTGACTTCATGTTTCCTGCCCTCGTGTGATAAACTTCTGCTTAGCTTATTGTCTCCTACAGTTGATGGAACCATATCTGAAGTTAATGGCCTGAATGTATTCCGTTTCCTGCCACCTTCTGCCCAGTGCATGACAGTTTATTCAAGAAATGTTCCGTCTGCTCTCACAAAGGTGTGGGTGGGCCTGTGGCTGCCCTCATGGAAGTGGACCACACTGTTCCATTTCTGATTATGGACTTGAACCACTCTTGGCTACTCTTGTGCCAGGTATTTGGTTACAAAAAAAATAGTATATTTAATAGGTTTTGATTTACCTGTGTTACTAGACAGGATATCTAATTTGTGAGTAATTCTTGAAGAAATTCGATGCCTTGCGTCAGTGTGTGATTCTCAGTGCCGTCATAGCAACAAATTCTTAACAGGTTCCACACACTTTGAATCATTTTGACTGTCATCTCAGTAATGTAGCCAAGACATGCTGTAATTTCTCCCACTCCACATCTCTGGAGCTCTGCACTCTGATAAAGGGCCTTTTTTCATTCTATATGTTCGTCTCAGTTACTTTTATGGGTTTCAGTTTTCACATGATTTTTCTTTTCCTCTCCCCCTGAGCATGTGTGTTTTCTTGGCTCACATGTCAGTGTGTCGTCACCCTCTCACAAAGAACTGTGGTATTTGTGGCCCTTAAAGAAGACGTGTGTGGCGCGGACCGCTCAAATGCACTGCCCACACTTTATGACCAGGTCAGACTCTCTGCAGTGCCATACGCCTTTCTTAATCCAAGGTCTACGGTCTCTTTCTCCGGTTCCTCGTTTCTATTTGGCTGGATCGCTGTCCGCATCTGTTTTTCATTCTCCAATATTCATTGGGAACACGCCACCAAGGGATAAACTGAAATTGAAATCTCTGGCTGCTTGTCAGAATATCTTAGTGTCAGGCTTAACATAACTTAGTTAATGTTGGGACGTTTGAATCTTGAGTTTAAAGCGGAAGCGTCCAGTTGATCGACACGTGTCTGTGGCTGTTGTTGCTTCAGAACTCAGCAGGTTTTCTTTCCTGCCTCTTAGGACTCAAGCCCATTGAAATTTGAGGCTCTTGATCTGGGCACTATGATCACAAAAGTGGATGGGGCATGCTCTCACAGGCAAAATGTTACATTTATGATCTAAAAGAGGCACCATGTTGGGCTGTGATAGGCCGGTGTTGGCGAGCTTAGCCGTGTGGAAGGTTTCCTCCTTCTGTCCAACACAGCCATGCCTGCAACTTGTCAACAGGGTCATGTGACAAGCTGGGGGCCTGTTAACCCCTTAAACCTCGGGTTTGCTCTCAGTATATCCATAGTTGCTTGCTTACTCCAAATGATAAAGTGACGATTCTTCGGTTCAGCCCATTTCGGCTGCAGAATCTCACAGGTATAGCCCTCCCTCAACCAGCCCTCGGTTCTGGTTTTCATCAACTCCAGCTGTAGCTTTTATTACGGTCGGAGACATCGTCCTTTTCCATCTTGTCAAATGAAGGATTCGTTAGTGGTGAATAAATCAAACTGTGGTACGGCACATAGGTTGTGAAGGAATCTCGTTTTTTTACTGGAACTTTCTCATCTAATACAAGGTTATGCAATAATGGAAGGGATCAGGTTGTAATCTGCTACATCATTCAACCAGTGAACTATATTTCTCAGAGAGTGCTTTCCATTACATGTTAAACAAAGCCCATTTGGGCCTCATTGTGTTGTGTTGCTTTGCTAAGCATAAGATTGCAAATTGGAATATTTTGATAATAACTTTGTCCTATTTTTGATGTCATATTTATTCTATACTGAAATGGAATATGTTGTAAAAGTTGGAACCTTTTCGCTCTGTTACGTCAGACTGTAAATGTGCAGTGGAACAGCTTCTGATTTTTGGCTGTGAGACTCCATCTCTTGCTCGAGTTTGTTTCTAGCCTGTCCTAGTGTTCTGAGAAGGTTGATTATGCACAGAATCTGTTTGGGCTGAACACCTACAAAGTTCACAATGTAGTTCACAAGGCAGTGAAGATATGTGGAGCCAGAGGGTGATGAAAGTAGCTCTTTAGTTGCCAGGTGGAGACAGAATCAAACACAATGCGTGCTTTATTTAATGGTTTCTTGCCCTCTGGGTATTCTACTATTGCCATCAAACAGTAAAAGTGGCTCAGTAACAATGGAAGTTTTTACTTCTCAGTTATGCTATTTGCTTTTGCTATAAAGTTGTTGTTAGTCACCACTATGGGATGTTTTCTCTCACATTTTGGTGTTTATTCATCAATTTTACAGCTTTGAAATGGCTAGAATTCCAGTGGTGTCTGTAATTAAAATAAATGAAGCTCTCTAAAGTCAAGCGCATTCAACTAAAAAATACCGTGAATTTTCATGCTCAGTCAGATTATCATTGTCAGATGTGGGGTTGTTTTCTGCATGTAAGTATTAAAAATCTAAAGATAAGTACAGATAATCCAGGAAATGAAAAGTTGTAGAAACACGAAGGACAGTGCAGGATCACATAATCATATTACTTTGATCCCACACTGGGATCACGGCCGCTGATCTGCTTGTAGGAGCAAGCCAAAGGGAATATCTGAGTGATGAAGTGACAAATGGAGGACAAAGAGCTGTTGCTGAATCTTCCTGTTTTTGTGAAGCTCCATGGAAAAACTTTGCTTTCACACACACGCACTGACAGTTCGCTCTCTTAAGCACCCATATCTGTATTCACTCTGACAGGCTTATCTCTGTGTTTTTCTAGAAGCTCTCCAGAGACCAGACTTTGAGGGTCAGGGTCTGACAGATGCAGCCCGCTGGAACTCCAAAGAGAACCTGTTGGCAGGGCCCAGCGAGAATGACCCCAACCTGTTTGTTGCACTCTATGATTTCGTCGCCAGTGGCGACAACACACTAAGCATTACCAAAGGTGAGTGTGGGACTTAAGACGGATAAGGGAACACATCTCAGCAATAAAAAATATTTCTCTACATGCACACTGAGTATTGGGAAGAAGAAAGGAAATTAAAGGAGAATGCTTAAGGGAATTACATTCGGCTAAACCTTAAAACACCGAAAGTTTCTGGGTCACCATAACATTACAAAAATTATGCTGACCATTTCCCCTTTTTTCTGTTTTGTTTCTCAAGATATCATAGTTTTAGTCAGGAATGATTCAGGATAGTCTGATAAGAAAAGATTTATCTGTTGGCTTTCGGGGACGCAGGAAGTGTGCCACACTTCTGGAGATAGCAGATCTCCACTGGGCTGCGATTACTGCTGGAACCTCCTGATTAGCGTCGCCCCTCTTTGTCCTCAGTTCCATCTGAACCTCACTTCCGAACAATGGTCTCACACATGGGTCTTTTTTTCCACTGAACTGACTGTAAAACAGTACTGCAGACAAACAGAGGAAGGAAGGAGGGAACATCGACACCGGAATAAACAAGAGAATGTCCAGCACGACATAATTTTCCTGTGCTTTTCAATATGAACTTACAGGCTAAAAGGTTAGCCCAATAACACAAATTAGATGATTAATTTAAATCACTGATAAAAACTATGCAAACATCAATACTTATAATGAGTTGTGTTTTGTAATATGTAGAATAAAACAGGGTAATACCTTTAGGGGTCTATATAGTCCGAATAAGTTCTTTAAAGAAGCACCTGGATTTTGGGCCTTTGTAAAGAACACTTTGGATATAGTGAATTAATCTGTTTCTGACTGCCCCGCTTAGCTCTGAGTTCCCTGGTCCCAACTGGCATCGATAAGTTGACCACTCCACCATCTCTCCCTGACTAGGGGAGAAGCTGCGTGTGCTGGGTTACAACCACAATGGTGAGTGGTGTGAGGCACAGACCAAGAATGGCCAAGGTTGGGTGCCGTCCAACTACATCACGCCGGTCAACAGCCTGGAGAAGCACAGCTGGTACCATGGGCCTGTTTCACGCAACGCTGCCGAGTACCTGCTCAGCTCGGGCATCAACGGAAGCTTCCTGGTTCGAGAGAGCGAGAGCAGCCCCGGACAAAGGTCCATTTCTCTGCGGTATGAGGGGAGAGTCTACCATTACAGGATTAACACTGCGTCTGACAGCAAGGTAGGCACCAGAGGACACGGCGCACCGGCCAAGAAGGTCTGACTACGCAAAGCACTCCTCACCAATGCACTCGCAATTAATCCTGGTTTTTACAAGGTGCCATTTCACTCCCCCTGATGGGAAACATAGTGTGCAAACTCAAAAAGAAAACAAAACAATCAAAGGCCCACTCATGTCCATGAACAAACAGCGCACAAAACACAACACAACAATGGAAAAAAACAACAGAATGCAATAATAACTCCAATAAAACCACCCAAAATGAAAACCCTAAATGCAATATAATCACATTTACTCATTTTAAAAAAGCCATGTCTTAGAGAACAAAGGGGTTTATGATCCAGTTAGTCTTCGCTTGTGTGCCTGTGTATCTGCGGCCTGAGGGGAGCAGTTCAGAGGGGGGTTCTGGTTTCCCACAGTGGCTCAGGCTTTCCGAAACACCTGCTCCTCGGGGGGGTCTCCTCATCAAATTAGTCGTAAGATTTCTAAGGACATTTTCTAAGAGAATGTACTTTGATGTCTGACGCCAGAGGGGACTGTTTGAATGAATACATTCAGAACTGTTCAACGCCTCCTTCCAAAAATACATAAAGGAACATTTTCACTAAGAACCAATTTTCTCGCCATGCTTTCATTTCCCCCTGGCTGTCCCATGTCACCCTCCTGTCTGTGATGTAACACGGTGACCTAGCTTCAGAAATATAGCTATGACAAGAATGTCTAACCACCACTGTGCCTCCGGTTACAGCCAACAGATGTGAGGCCGGACCCAGACACTGACGCTCATGCTAAAACATGCCGTAGCACAGACAGATGTGGTCGAACCATATGCTCACACGTTGACAAAAAAAAGGACCTCCTCTCATATTGTTTTCCATCCTCCCACCTAACTACTCGTCAAAAGTCTGGCTTGATAGATTATTCCAGTCATTTAAGATGACCTCAGCACTTCCACCAGGCACTTTGTTTTTTTTCTCACACTGACTCATTGTGAGTAGGTGATTAACTCTTTTCTGATTTTTTAAAGGACTAAAAATCTGTCTTACAGCCACGGTTAATCTCTCTCTCATATTCAATCATTCAGTCAAACAAAGCATCAGAAGCAATACAAAAAATAAACGTGGCAAAAAAAAACATCTTTGTGCAAGACTTGGATGATGGAAACGTCTGTGTCCACTGAGCCCTGACCAACATCCTTCCGTCCACAAGCTTCCTGACAAATGCTTTGAAAGCTTGGAATGGGCTGGGGTCATAACTTTTCCATTTATCACTGGTTTCAGACAGCTCCTTTTCATGTAATGTTTCCAGACATGTCAGCACTATTGTAATGCAATTAAAGACAAGTAATAAGAAGGAAACCGTAACCTTGACTCGCATTAGGGTAACTGAAATGGCCTTTAGCCAAAATTTCTGTGTTTTTAATAAAGCTTTTTAGGGTGTTTTTTATTTTTATTTTAAGCATGTCTAATCAAGAAGTAGCTGTGATCATAACCCGATTAAAAAAAAAACAAAAAAAAAAACTTATCAATGACTCAGATGTAGAAACCCTTTCTCTTCCAGCTCTACGTTTCTTCAGAGAGCCGTTTCAACACACTGGCCGAGCTGGTGCACCACCACTCCACAGTGTCAGACGGCCTCATCACCACACTGCACTACCCAGCACCCAAACGCAACAAGCCCACCATCTATGGAGTTTCCCCTAACTACGATAAGTGGGAGATGGAGCGCACTGACATTACAATGAAGCACAAACTGGGAGGGGGCCAATACGGGGAGGTGTACGAAGGCGTCTGGAAGAAATACAACCTCACTGTGGCTGTCAAAACGCTAAAGGTAAGGAATCACAGAGGGATTCCTGGTACATCTGCAGGGCCCACTGCTTCTGATTTAATGACCAAAGTCTGACTCCTTTGAGCTTGGTGGAAACATTTAGATGCGGAAGACCGAGAGGAAATTCTTGATTTAGCTGAACGTTACCATCTGCTGTCGCATCGATGCAACTACAGCCAACTCATGGCTTTTCCCTTTCAATTTGATCACAATTGCTCTGCAGGAGGACACGATGGAGGTGGAGGAGTTTCTCAAGGAGGCGGCAGTTATGAAAGAGATCAAACACCCCAACCTGGTGCAGCTGTTGGGTGAGGAATTTTGAGAGAAAAGAGAAAAGAAGAAGAAAAAAAAATCAGCAGCAACTCAACTCAAGATCGGTTTTGTGTTGTGTTGTACTGTGTGTCTGTGGCAGGCGTGTGCACCCGGGAGCCCCCCTTCTACATCATCACCGAGTTCATGACCCACGGCAACCTGCTAGACTACCTGAGGGAGTGCAACAGGGAGGAGGTGAACGCTGTGGTGCTGCTCTACATGGCCACACAGATCTCCTCTGCCATGGAGTACCTGGAGAAAAAGAACTTTATCCACAGGTGGGTTACGCTGCTCAAACTGTGTAAATGGGCTCACAAACGTGCTCCTCCGCTGCCCCCACGAGACATGCATCTCCTCCTTCTTCCTCACAGCGCAGCCCGTCCCTGTCCAGCCCTTTTTCTCTGTGTTTTCAACATCCCTTATCGTTTTTTGTTGACATCAGAAAAGAAAGTGCTCTCAGTAACTGTAGAGGAGCTATGAAATGTCCACGAAGCATGACACAATGCTTTTGGTATGAAAAACTTGGTATGTTGCTTTTGTAACTGCTGTGAATCCTTGTTGTGCCCTTATAAATAATGACTTAGGAAAGGAGTTTCTCCTTGCTTGTGTAGTTATTCGAATAGCTGAGCTTTGTTAAGGAAATGAGAAAAAACACCTGGAACTGCCCTAATTGATAAAAAAAAAAGTGTGTAAAATACATCTTCTTTTCATGCCTCCTCCATTCAGCCCTGTAATACGGCCAGAGGAATTTAGTCCACGTCACCTGGCCCTCGTCTTCTGCATCACAGGGTTTTCAGGCACTTTGTTCTGGAGCCTTCAATTACACGATTTGGTCACAGCTGTTATAGAGACAAAGGGAAACAAATCTCTTTCACATCAAATTTTATCTTAGCTTTCCTCATTCCCGAGTAGATCTTCTCTCCCCTCACCTCACAGACAAGTCATTGTTGCTGCGTAGGCAGTTTGTTCTGGCACGTTTAAGAAGAAGCGATGAGAGCTGATTTATGTTTTTCATATTTGACAAGCCGCATTTAATTTTAAAGTCTGACAAGACTCAGCTTGTGAGTCAGTGCCATACAAAGCGAGTTCCAGCCCCACATTAGATGCTTTTACAGCACAGCCAGTTGGTGTTTTTCTTTCCTACGTTTCTTTTTTTTCTTTTTTTTTAATTGTGGAAAATGTGTCCCAGTTAGCTCGCTGCGATTGAGCATTTTTTATTTTCTCCATGAAAGTGACGATTGCATGTAGCAGCCCGATCATCGTTCCTCTTTCTCCCCTGCAGGGACTTGGCTGCCCGTAACTGCCTGGTTGGAGAGAACCACTTGGTGAAGGTTGCAGACTTTGGCCTGAGCAGGCTGATGACCGGAGACACATACACAGCTCATGCTGGGGCCAAGTTCCCCATCAAGTGGACCGCTCCAGAGAGTCTGGCCTACAACAAGTTCTCCATCAAGTCTGACGTCTGGGGTAAATTTGATGTCAGACAATAGAATTTCTTATAGTTATGGTGTTTTTGCTTGAAATGCATATCAAATGGCCATTTTTCTTATTTTTCTCAAACTTCTGCTTTCATTATTTACATGTAGCTTTTGCTAAAGCTTTTCTGCTAAGTGCTGTGTGAGACCTAACGAACGGTCCTGTTGTATGATCTTTAGCGTTTGGCGTGCTGCTGTGGGAGATTGCCACCTATGGCATGTCTCCCTACCCTGGCATCGACCTGTCTCAGGTCTATGAGCTGCTTCAAAAGGACTACCGTATGGACCGACCAGAGGGCTGTCCAGAGAAGGTCTACGAGCTCATGACAGCCTGTGAGTGCCTGTATGGATCTGCTTGAAATATGATGGAAGACTGTCTTGGCGCTAAATAACATTTTCCCCTCGTCAGGTTGGAGGTGGAGCCCCTCAGAACGTCCATCCTTTGCTGAAACACATCAAGCATTTGAAACCATGTTTCAGGAATCAAGCATATCTGATGGTCAGTAACACCTAGACCGCTCGTACATATCGAGGGATACGTCAGTAAAATAAAAACAAGTGTCATTAGAATAGGTGAACTTCATGTTTGATCACATCTTTACCAACTCTATAATTCTAGAGGTTGAAAAGGAGTTGGGGAAGAAGGGGAAGAAAGCAACATTAAGCTCCATCCAGCAGGCTCCAGAGCTGCCCACAAAGACCAGAAGTCTTCGCAAAACCATGGAAAACCGGGACGGAGAAAGTCCAGGTGTCTCTAAGATAATCGACTTTAGATGACCTCACACATGCAATGCATTCTGGGTCGCGTCCTCACATCCATTTAGCATCTTCAAGAATGTTTTAAACATCCCTGACCTGTTTGTACTTTTTCTCAGACCCGCTGGACCCAGAGGTTGCCGTGTCATCACCAATGCTTCCCAGGAAAGAGCGGCCACCTCTGGACAACAACTTGAATGAGGACGACCGCTTGCTACCCAAAGACAAGGACAAGACGCGTGGTAGTGGATTTCTAAGCCTCATCAAGAAAAAGAGAATTAAGGCCCCAACTCCCCCCAAACGCAGCTCGTCTTTTAATGACAAGAAGCTCACAACTCTAGATCCTCGAGACAGTGACAGTTTCAACAATGGTGCGTCGTTGTCCTTAAATGACACAACACACGGAATGGAATCCTCAAAGTTTTTGGATGCTACCAATAATGGCGCCCATACCAGTGGGGCTCCCAGCTACCCAGGACCTTTGTTCCCCAGAAAGAAGGGAGCTCCAGCAATGCCTGGTCCAGGAGGCAAGGCAGCTACAACTCCACCCAGTGAGGAGGAATCCATTTCCAATTCAAGCCGCTTCCTGTGGTCCTCCAACTTATTTAACGGCAGAGATGGCACCTACAGGAAATCTGTCACGCTGCCACGAGACCTGGGCCAGCGCCACTTTGACTCAAGCACCTTGGGCGGTAAGCCAGCCCTTCCACGTAAGAGGACCAACGAGCAAAAAGGGGAAAACACTCCTCGAATGGGGACCCTGACCCCCCCGCCTCGCCTGAACACTTCGCCAGAGGTGCCCTCGGCTTTCGTGGGCAAAGATAACGACCCCAGTCCCGGCTCCAGTCCGCAAGCACTGACACCTAAGGTGGTCAAGAGACCCGGCCTGCCGGGGCTGGACTCCTCTAAGACCAGTGCTCTCCATGCCGAGCTCTCCAAGCCCAACGTGTTCCCTGCCCTGGGGGCCGCTGGAGACGAGTGCAGGATTCGCCGAAACAAGCCAATTGTAGATGCCTCATGTGTCAGGGAGAGGGGGAAGCTGCACAAACCCAAACCGGCTCCACCACCACCACCCACCGGGGCCAAAATGGGCAAAATCTCACGCAGTCCCACTCTAGAACTCAACTCTCCCTCATCCTCGCCTTCAGACATCAAAACCAAGGGCGCTCTGTCCATCTCGGATCCCCACCACACGGCTGCGGTCGCTGACCAGGCCCGCACAGCAGCCAGTGAAGGCTCAAAGAAGCTGTCTTTGGGCTCCACCTCTAAAACTCAACCGCTAAAGACCTCCACCTCAGCGCCCACCTCCCCCTCCGGCCAGAGCCTCGGCGGTCTGCCTTCCTCCCTCACCTCCCCCGGCGACCAGAGCTCCCCCGCATTCCAGAGAGCGTCGGGGATTCTGGTGGATCCCCGCCGCTCTCTCCGCAAGATGACCCCGCGCCAGGCCTCCAACTCGGCCGTGACCCGCGAGATGGTGCTGGAGGGCACCGAACTCCTCCGGACGGCCATCTCGCGCAACTCTGAGCAGACGGGCAGCCACAGCGCGGTGCTGGAGGCCGGCAAGAACCTGTCCAAGTACTGCTCCAGCTACGTGGAGTCCATCCAGCAGATGAGGAACAAGTTCGCCTTTCGAGAGGCCATCAGCAAGCTGGAGAACAACCTCCGCGAGCTTCAGATCTGCCCGGCGGCCACCGGGGGCCCCAACGCACAGCAGGACTTCAGCAAGCTGCTGTCCTCCGTCAAAGAGATCAGCGACATCGTTCAGAGGTAGCGCCACAGAGTCGTGTACACTACCAGCACGGGAAACTGATGAGTGTGTGTCCCACTCTCCCGGCTGAGCTGGGGCCGGTGCTGAGCCCACGCCTGAGGGAGAGCTGCAGCAGCCCCTCCGCAGAAAGACCTGACTAGATTAAGCCTGTGGTTACAATGGACAGACTCAAACGAAACCTCCTGTGTTGTCATCAGCCTTAACTATGAATGCACATTGTTGTTCGGCCTCACCGCGAGGCCTGGGGCCAATCCTACATCATGACTTTTTTTTTAACCAATCTTTTGTTTTTAAACTATCGTGTCTTACATATTTGCTTGGTTATTTCTTTTTTTGTTTTGTTTTCCACATGACATAACATAAAATCGGCCTTTGATGTTTGCTTCCATCACCCTCGGTGGGTTGTTGAGGCAACGGCAACGAGCAAAGACAGACTTTTGTGGCTGTTTTTTTCCTTTTCATCTGTAAAGATTGTGGAACACATGAAATGCCTCTGTCCAAGGCATCCCATTTTTCTGTTTTCTTCTACTGCTTGACTCATCATCGATTATACACTGACACATGAAATGGTGTCAGTCTTTGTTTTGTATGGAATCTTTATACAGTATTTGCAGTCATGTGCCCTTAAAGAAAGCGTGGGAGGCCGAATGGTCCGTAAGCAGTCTGCAGCTTTGGCAACTTCGGGAATCAAAGGTGCTTTAAACACTTTAATGAGGGCTGTTTGACCATGACACTTTTATGGACAGATGATTGGCTTTTGGAAAATTGCACCATGTGCACGAGAATGGCTGGTTTGGTTTGATAAGAAATGTTTGACATACCAAATTTATTCGCCTCCAGTCTATACTGGAGAGGGACCAGGGTGCAGGATCTGCAATATTATAAATATATATATACACACAAACACACACACTACTTTGATTAAAATCAATATGCCAGTTCAAAAAAGCCATCAGTAGCATTTTGGCCTTGCAGCAGCATTTTTTTTAGGTGCTGAGGGGGTGACAGACTGACTCCGTGTTTTCTCTGGCTGGCCTTTGTTCCTGAAAGAATGGAGGTGTGATGTCACATTGTCTAAATGCTGTTGCAAAGGCCTTTCCTGGGGGAAACACTGGGGGGAAACACTGGACGGAAATGTTTATGGATCTATCACGTTCTGTCTTACAAAATGTGTTAAATTCCGAAAAACAAAAAACAAAAAAAAGTTGAGTATTTTTAATATGATGTACTTCTCTTGTCTGACTGTGATGCCTGAGGACAAACGTCACCGCTGTCTGCCTTGACTTCAGTATGGTACTGTTTACTTCTCTCTTACCCCCTCCCCCTGTATAAAACATACCACTACTTTTTTTAAGCATCATTCACCTATTTTGTAGACAAACTTTCACTTCATCTGTACATTTTTTCCTCCTGGGTTCAATTTTTGTTGCAATAAAATACAAAGCAGTTGTGCTACTTGAAACACACTTCTGAATCTGGTGGTTTTTAAAGCCATGTGAGAATCGGTAACTCAAACTTGACCCGTGGGACTAGGTCTCAGTCCCAGGTGTTTTATTAAAGCCAGTGTCTTTTACAGCATCATCACAGACGGACACAGAAACAGGTTATGTATAATTTATTTTTTCTATCTAGATTATTTTTTGTCATTAAAATCAAAATGTCAACATTTTTAAAATCATATACACGCAAGTACGCATTTAAATGTTAGCACAGCTCCTTAAAAATTTATACATATGTACGTTTTTGTTTTGTTTTTTTCTTGTACTTGTGGACAGACAAAAGCAGGAAGTGGTCACTCCAAACTGCAAAGAAGTGGGACACAGGAAAAAAAAAAGAAGCCCCAGCCCACCCACTTCTCACAAAAGTAAGCCCATCCCCGTTCCCCAAAAGTTAAGACAGCAATGCGGGGCCCCTCCCACGGAGGAGCCATGTGGGGGTGGAAAAAGAAAACAGAATACCTACACAAACATGCCCCATTCTCCACTCTGTACAGAAACGAGAGGTCTGCTGACATAAATACTTCTTTGCACATCTCATTTCACTATTCTCGGTCGATCGGCAGGTTCAGTAGTGTGCAGATTGGGAGGGGGGGGCGGGGGGTTGTTTACGCCTCTGTCCTTTACATACATTTATTAATAGAAACTATGTTACAGAATTTTCCCAAGCATGAATTACAGGCAACCCACTAGCACACCAACTGTACAGATCTTGGCAGAGCCACCAAATAAATTTCTAAATCCAAAGTACAGTAGCAAGGTCTTAACCAGCATTTTAGAAGCATATATACAGCTGTCCAATCGGGGGTTGCTATGTTACAGAGGAAATCGTACTTGAAGAAAATAAAAAAAACATATCTTCACTTTTGACAGCTTCTTCATATTTCATGGGGGGGCGGGCTGCTTCTGTTAGGAGGCACCTGCCCAAATGAACCAGATTACAGCTCTTCAGTGCAGCCCAAAGGAGTGATTTGTTTTACACCTGAATAGTCAAGGTGTGGGTTTAGCCATGCTGCTAATGATTGACCATGAGACACTTTACCAAACGGGTCTTTACTTTTATTTTCCGGGTAAATAAATGAATTATCCTTAATTGAAAATAAACTGATTAATAGGGGGTAAACTGAAGAGCAGCTGCAGCGAAACAGAGACCTAAGAGTAATCATTATAAGGCAACAAACAATGACAAAGAAATGCTGGTAAAGACAGTCGATATGATGATGAGAACTTTGGGGTTAGATGTACGGCGAGGAGAGCTGGTGCAAGAGACCCATTTAAATTCATCTTTTCATCAAATACTGAAAAGATTTTTTTTTTTCTTTCGTTAAAGTGACGTCTTAAATTAAAGTCAAACGAACCGTCCATCCAACTTCATAATACAGACTAGCTGGAAAACACCCAACGCTCTGTCCTGTGATGTCGCAGAGGGATGAGGGATCTATGAGCGATCTCTTACATATATGGTGAGAATTCTTTTTTTCACTCCTGAGTTCATCAGATCTGGCAAAGGAATTTGCTTGGTGCCAAGCAGCAAAAGCTAGAATTAAAAGCCACCAACACTGCTGAGTCCTCCTAAAAAGGCCCACTCAGCTACACGTTCCTGTACACACACACACACACACACACACACGTGTGGCTGCTTTTCTACGTCACTGATTTCTGCTCCCACACCAAGCGGAAAACCCTATCTGCATGTGTTGATAAAATGATGGCATTGTAAACCATGCAGGAGGAGTTTAGGAATATAGTTTAGATCTGGCTTAAACACAACTGATCGGCGGTGGATGAAGCTTGACGCGGCGTTTTGCATTTCATATATAGCTAAAAACCAAACATAAAAAAAACAGTCTCGCTCTGTTATTATATGAACGTTACATCTATCTAAAGTGTCAGTGAACGGTGTAATGTGTGGTGGCACCTACAACTCTACACATGTGGGGACGGGGCTGGGCCCAATGGTGCGGGAGGACTGGAGGAGAGTGAGAGAGGAGAATTATGGGAGAGAAGACACACTGAGATTTTTAAGAGGAGTGAGACGGCAACAGAAGGAGACGGACAGGAAGAGGAGATGGAAATGATGTAGTCCACACAGCGTAGCTCAGTCTGGCCCGAGTCGATGTTCACCCCCCGATCCTTTCCTCCGAAGCCCTGCTCTCACGCAGCTCCTGGTGCAGCCCGGGATGAACGTACGGAGGGGCTGGAATGGATGGAGGGGGTCGGTTGAGGGGAGAACAGACAGACACAGAAGAGGGGGAGGGCGCGGGGGCTTTTGCTTGGTCATTAGCAGCCGCAGCCTTCTCTCTGGGGCTGTGGTTCGCTGGTTAGCCGGCCGCCCTGGGGGGCCGAGGGCTTATGCTGGACCCCGGACTCTGCGGCGTTCAGGTCCAGGCTGCCATCTTGGATGTTCTGATAGATTTTCTTGGCCGCTTCCAGGAAGGCGTCCTCAACGTTTTCACCCCTACAGACGCAGCGAAGACACCAGAGTGGCAAAGAAGGGAAATCAAACATGACTGAGGCAGGAAAGCGGGTGGTGACTAGAACATGGAAGGCGCACTGACTTACGTTTTTGCACTGGCCTCCAGAAACAACAAGCCTGTTCAAAAGAGAGCAGGAAATTATGGATCTTCCTCCAAGCTGACATAACAAGACCTTATCACAAGTCTGATATTTCCTCTCCCAAATGCTCCCCAGACTGACTGTGTCTGCTCACCGTTCTCCTCAGCAAACTGCTTAGCCTCCTCATACGTGACATCTCTCTGGGCCTCCAGGTCTGCTTTGTTTCCTATGAGAATGATCACCTAACAACAAAAGCACAGGGAGTGTGAGGCCACCGTGTGCTTTCTGGGCCTCCACACAACAGGGAAGCAGAGGGCACCGCTGGGGGGGGGGTGGAACATGCAGCTGTGATGTCACTGAACCTGGAATGCCCCGACAACAGTCGCTGTGCTGGAGCCGCATGTCCATCAGCACACGTTCATGTTTTATTCAAGCAGATTTTCAGAAACAAATTTCCATGCTGGGCAACAGCCCCGAACCATTAGCTTTGGAAAGCATTGACCTCTGCTGTGGCAAATGGGAGAAAATCTCCTGCAGTCTGTCCACATTGACCTGTTAAAATCTGATGGAAGACATGACTCAGCCTGTGCCCATGTACAGATGAGGCCCCAGGACTTAATGACTTCACACAGAACTCAGATCTTTTTTGAATAGCTTTTTGTCTCCTGCTGCATCCTGCCATGAAAAAGGTTCATTCAGGATGCAGCATTTACATTTATGCATTTAGCAGACGCTTTTTTCCAAAGCGATTTACAAAAAGAGGGTTTAACATTCACCTACAGCACCAGTTACACACTTGCCTTACCTTGAGTGCAATATGCTAGAGGAGGATTTAACATTAAGGATTAACATCCTGATGTTGACACCTGGGAGAGAAGCCATGGCTGTGCTACAACAGTGCCACCATTGGGCCGAAGCAAGATACTTCATCAACAAACTGGGAAAACAAGACAGGATTTGGCTGCTTCTGGGACACAGGTGGCATGCTCAGAAATACCTCATTAAAGTACCCACAACTTCCTTTGTTTGGTCAGTTTGCTGCATCTGACCAATCTGTGCATCATCTGTAAATACACCCATCTCAAGTAATACATCTAGATTATCTAAACACCCAGTGGGGTGCTGATTATAACTATGAACTCTTAGAGTCACTTCCTTTTAGTATAAACCCAAAGAAGATGAGATCCAGCCCTTGTAAAAAAGACATAATATGGAAGTGGACAGTTGCACAAACCCATTTCACTGATGGAGAGCAGAATGATGTAGAGCTAATCAGATTGAACTCGAAAAATCTATTTAAGAAATGCACAGGCTCCCTTTTCAAAACGACTTCAGGGAGAACAGAGCAGGAGAAACAGGAAATTAAACAGAGGAAGAACCTGCAGCAGTCCAACTCAAGAAGTCTAAACAGCCAGAGAGACGAGTAGGAGCAACTGAAAGGTCTGGGACATGACGTGTTGACCGGCTATAAGTCACAGCGTGCGTACTTACGGTGTTGGGGTTGGTGAGGTTTCTAGCGTCGGTCAGCCAGCTGCTGAGGTGGTTGTAAGTGCTTCTCCTGCATGACATCAGCAAAAGGACAATGCTATGACAACAGGCTAAGCCGTCATACGGCATTACTGGAAAAGATGTAACACAGACGGCTCCTGCAACATGATGGCGCCATGACAGGGTCACACAGGGCTTTTTATTCTCAGAAATCTATTCACGTATGTCCAAACTCTCTATGTCTCTAATTTAACTTTTTAACCCACTTAGTCGACCTGTATGGTTCCCATTTTCTCTTTGATACCATCTATACACAGGTTTTTTTGTTTCTTTAAACATTTGGTTATTGGCATTGCAGCCTTCAGCTACAGGATGTGCTCATCTTTGTAGGCAGATGGTTTCCCCATCCCTTAGAGCACATGTGTCAAACTCAAGGCCCGCGGGCCAGATGTGGCCCGCCATGTCATTTTATTTGGCCCGCGAGAGCTTAAAAGTTTTGAGTGTCTAAAAATGAATACCAAAAAAAATAAAAAATTAAATGCGTGCTTTGACCAAAAACTACATTTCCTACAATGCCTTTTCAACTACTGGATAAATAATGAGTTATTTAACATTAAGGCGTAGTTACATTTCTTTTACATTACATTCAATTACATTTAGTTACATTTATAAGTTACATCTGGCCCTTTAAGGTCAGCCAATACGCTGATGTGGCCCTCAGTGAAAATGAGTTTGACACCCCTGCCTTAGAGCGACTCCTGGGGTGTCCTGCAGTTCAGACTGGCTGCACAGGTTTGCGATACCCGTGACACCATCCAGCTCAAACAACAGGGCTGCACGCGAGCCGCAATGCAAACGCTTTCATTTGCTCAGGGCGTCCCCTCTACCGATTTCATTGCCTCTGTTTTCATCCCCTTTAGGGGAATGGCACGGCCATCCTCTCAGGAGCCAGGCCCGTGGGGTTTACCTGGTGATGTCGTAGACCATCAGGGCCCCGGCAGCGCCGCGGTAGTAGGAGCGGGTGACGGCCCTGAAGCGCTCCTGTCCTGCCGTGTCCCAAATCTGCAGCTTGATCTTCTGTCCACTAACCTCGATTATCCTTGTGCCAAACTCCACGCCAATTGTATGAGGGCAGTCTGCCATGACTGGAGGGAGGAAGTAAAGCTCAAGTTTATTTAATTTCACTCTTTGTTTCCATGTTTATTGTAGCTGTTCCACTGCTGACCGCACATTATCACCGATATCTTCCAGCTGCTCTTGATGCCACACATACATTAAAAAGAAGAAATAAATAAGTGCAGCAAGTGTCACTGATCCATTTGCCAACCGACGAGACATAAAACACTCACGCAAGTTCCACATGTCTGCTGTTAAGAGGCAGCAGCTGTGGCAGCAAAAATAATTACAACCTTAAAGAGAACCAGGGCTGGGAAGGTTCAAGAAAGTCTCGCATCTCTTTTCAATGGGTGCTGGGAACCTTTTCTAAATCATCCCTGTGTGTGGATATGGGCAGGATGCGATCATGTGCAAGTGAGTGAGAAATTCTGCATCTGGCTCGTTAATAGTGGCAAATAACCGAGCTGAATGGCAATGGGCGGCTGCAGCTGCCTCATACACAGAAGAGACTCTCACTGTGGAGCTCACACTCATCTTCTATCCTACCGACTTCCGCTGGCAAATTACGAAATCCAAAGTGATTGAAGCGCTCCTTGGAACCTGGCAACCTTGCGTGCAGTGAGCCACGCGTACAAATGAAAAGAAGGGGGATAATGAAAAAATAAAAAATAAATCAGGGCAGCACTTACATTTCTTTTCTGTGAACTGGTGGAGCAAACATGACTTCCCTACCCCCATGTCTCCTGTAAAGAGACAGAGAGAGACTCAGGTCAACCAAGGAAACGACAGAGGAACAACAATTCTCTATTCAAGCCTGCAGTGTTGTTTCCATACATGATGTAGCAGTTCTTCTGCCACAGCAAGCAACAACACTTCAAAATTTAATGTGGATTTATGAGAGCCGGACAGAAGACGGCAGTGAGGCTACATGTCGGAATTTTTTTAAAGGACTTTTATTGGCTCATAAATGTAGAATGAGCACCACATTGTTTCTTCAAAACCTGCAAGACTTCATCATCAGCATTACAGTGCACCCCCCAAAACTACTCATCCTTTTTTTTTTTTTTTTTTTTTTTTTTTTTTTAAACGGCCACTTTTACAAAACAACACACAATATCAGATCTTTTAGAGAACTCTGTCATTTCTGCCCCTTTTCTACCTTCAGATACCTGCACATCAAATATGCGTTTAAAGTTCAAAGTTTACTCTTCTTTGACAATGCAAATTACCTTTTTTAAATAAGACTATAAATAAAACAATAGTAAGAGCTGCTTTAAAACAGCAGGGTCTGGAAGCTTTTGACATGTTGACAGGATGGATGGAACCCATAGCATTTTGAGTGTTTATGTTTTGGTCAGTATGTTAATGTATAAACAAGTACAGTAAAAGCAGCAAAAGGTCTTAAGAATGGCTAAAAAGCCAGGGAATTTAAAAGTCTGACGCATCAAACTGGGACAAGTTGGAGCTGCTCCAGAGTTCCTTGGACATTGCACAGGACGGGCGTCCGCATGCAAAATGGTCCTAAAATAGCTCATCAGTGTAGTTATTCAGAAAGGCTACTCGCTGGTGGTCAGCAGCACTCCTCACTTACCAATAATGATGTATTTGAAAATGTAGGAGTAGTTATATGGTGCAGTGGCCATCTTGGCTCTAGAAGACAAAAAAAAAGGATGGTTAATTCCTGTTTTTAGTTAAGGCAAGAACAACAGATGTGCTTTATATGACAAAATTGGAATTTTACTAAATGTGTTCAAATATTTAATCATAGGTTGAGATTGCTGCTTCCAACTGCAAAATTGCTGCAAAAAATATGCAGCGTAGGAATAAAATGATCAAAGTCTCCTGCATAGTCACTGCATACGACAGCAATATAAAACATTTTGATGACACTGGAAACACACAGGACTACCAACAGCATTGGAGATGTCAGAGCTAAAAATAACTGACACCTATCTGGTATTCAGTGATGTTTTATTGTTCACAGTAGAGCAAATTCATTGTGACAACCCGGGAATGGGGAATGTTTACCACACATCACCATCACTCCCTGTCAACAAAAGCATCTACACAAAACAGGGGAGCTGAGCAGTGCAAGCGAGCTGCTGCTTTAAAATGACAGAGATGCATTTAAGAACAACTGTCCAGTGATGACAGGGAAGAGCTTTTATGCATCAGAGATTGTTCTTTGGATTTCTAATACCCGAGCCGATCTGAAAGTTTTTACTTAAAAAAATACATATATGTATTGAATGATCAATTCAAATATGAGAGGGTAACATGACTTCTAAAGTTTCTGATTTAAATCACATTTGGCATTATAAGAACTAAATATTCCCTTGCTTTAAACATGTTCATCCTCCTCTGCTTGTAACATCAAAGTGTTGCCAAAACTTGCTCAGCAGCTACAAAAAGCAGATATTCTGGAAACATAACTGCCAGATTTAGATTGGGTGCATCTTGAAAAAAAGAAAAAGTAAAAAAACAAACACGCAAGTTGTCCTAACTTTCGTACGTTTGAAGCTCGGATTATTGGATTAACTCCTGTAGGGAGCCTTGAAGCTATCTGCAGTTAATGGGCTGTTCGACCCGCTCCAAAAACGTTACGTTTACTGATTTCCCTGAAACCCTGAATGTTATCCAACTATCATGTTTGCTACTTGTTTCTTTATTTGGTCAAATCAAACAACAATAAGGCTGACAGAGAGTAAGAACTCTGAAGTCTTGCTTTTAAATTCCCACTGCTGACAAACCAGTTCCTTAAGTGCAATCAGTTTGACGGGTTGAGTTAATGCCAACACTACTACAAAAATGTGGATGGGCAGTGATAAGAAAGGCTAGAGAGGAACAAAACAAACACAAAAGAAGTCATTAGGAAAAAATAATTCTACAAATAGGAATAGAAAACAAGCTGAGTAAATAGAGGTACACGATGAAAACAGTGTATTTAGGAATACCAGAGTTTGTTTCGTCCAATACAGATAGAAAGCAATTTGAGATCTCTTTGTGGGTTTTAGAGATTCAGAAAAAAAGTCCAGCAAAGTTCCATAGCCTAGAAAACAATACAGGTGCCATCGCTGCATGTTATACAACTACAGCATGTTTCAATTGTTTTGATATATGCCCAGTATATTTTAAAGCACAATTTAGAAGCCCTTGATCATAAAGCGAGATACCTATGACAACGCATTGCGTTTTTTAAATTTGATCTTTAACTAAATTAAAATGTTAGAAGAGTAAAAGATTGAGTGAAGTAGGGGTACATGTACAGATGGTTTTATCCCTCAATGACTCACGCCAACAGCCATCCAAACGCGCTACAATTCTTAATTATTTAGGCTAAGACAATATAAGTGGGCCTAAGAGCAGCCTATAAAACATCCTGACAAAAATCAAAGTAACTTTAAAAATACACATTTTATTTCACAATAATGACCATATGCAGACCAAGCACTGCTTCTACAAGATTGTTTAAAGAGTACACATTTTTATCTTGATTACTAATTAATGCCACTATGTCAGTCGATTTAGCCCGAGAAGATTCAAAGAAATACATGAAATTACAGTGAGGACATCAATACACTGATATCCAAGTTTAAAATTCCTATGACGTAACAGACCATGAACCCCTGACATTCTTTAAACTGGTAACATGCATGGACTTTTGGAGACTGCAACTTGTCACATGACTTCCATGTGGCCACCAGTGTGATAAGGGAGGTAATCTGTAGGATTAGATATAGCCAGCATAAGTAAAAGCTAAATATAAGGTCATAAAAATGTGTAGGGAAAATATTCATCAAGAAGTATGACAAATAAGGATTGTGACCAGACTGCAGTCTCAGCACTCTTTATTCCCCAACACACGATTTTCTGTCAAGAAAGAGCGACAGTGCACTTCCTCCTCTTAATAACTGAAACAAAGAAAAACCTTCAAGTAACAGGACTTAGTTGGGGGTCTTTAAACTGATCCAAATACAGCTTTTATTAGTAAATTTTCTTGCCAAGTTAATCTAATTATGTCAGTCATTTTAAATAATAGGAACAGCTGAACAAAACCACCAGAAATATAACTCTTCTACTCTATATGTGTCGTGCCATTTTTCCTAAAAAGCACGAATGCCGTCTGTGTTATCATAAAAACCAGAGATGAAAATGTAAATGCAACTGTTTGCCAATCGTCACTTGAAAGTTCATGATCAGGACAACAAGATTCTAGGAAATCATGACACATCCAGTAGCTTTATGTCTAAATTACGTTTCAGGCCCACCATTCAAATCATGTGACTCCCTGCAAGCAGGAAACAACACAATGAGAGACCATAACTTTTATTTGGAGGCACGATTTCTCGATTTTGCAGCCAAACTAAAAACTCTCAAATCCTAAAATGACGACATGTTGGAAGGACTAAAAGGCTACTTAGGTAACGTTGTTTACACTAGCTGTTTATACTATAAAGAGAAATGATGCAGCAATTGAGATTTGCGAAAGTCCAGGATGTTTAAATCAGTAAATCTGAGATAACAAGGACTTTCTTTTCCTTTCATGTTCAGTTATTTATCTATGTAAAAGAGTGTCATTTCTACAAGCAAGCTCAAAGGGGAGGCTAGGAGGCTAGCATTAGACCCTAAATGCAACACTGGTCTACAGCTGATCGCATTTTAATCGTTTTTTCCCCAAAATAAAAAAATAGAACACCACAAATTTAACAAAGACTCCAAAATAAACAACGTACATGACTTGCACATCTACTGTAAACGCTTTTATTTGACACATTAAATTCTTGCTCGGTGTCTTCAGACGAGTGCTAGCTCAACGTTAGCGTAATAACCGGCAAAATGACTGCACTGATTTGACTAATTTACTGCAATTACTGAGAGCTCAAAAACACATTGATATTGTCGAGGGGAAAGGGAAATAAGCCCTGACATTGACTTGGTTTACTAGCTAGACGGTCGATTGTGATAAAATTCTCCGCCCCACATTAGCTGTTTTGACAGCTAGGCTTCCATTAGCTACAGCCAGCTACCTGCTTGCTGACACACAACAAATCCCACACATCATAACTCATATGTCGGAAACCTCCATGGAAATAAATCCTGTCGATTCTGTTTCATTTACTGAAATCACTGGCCCCAGAAACTAAATTGACCAGAGAATTACTGGAAAAAACACACAATGTATATTACTAAAGTCAGCTAGCGATTACTTTAGCTGGATACTTTATCAGCTAATGGAAGGCACGATGCTCATTTTCATAAATTGAGACAATCTATTCACTCATTGTTTACACAATTACTATTTATCTGTTTCATCAACAACAGCTTACATTAATGAAAAAGTGAGTCAAACACGGACCAAGCTTTTTATTAGTTGGCCCCGTTAGCTTTTCACTTAGCTTACTCCTGCCACACTCAGCTGAAGCTTAGCAGTGTCTGCTCTTCCCTAATATTTATGTTGTTGCTCAGAGCTGTTCAGACAAAAGTAAGTCTTTAAGGATGTGCGCGAGTATTTCAATTAGTCTGTTCTTACCAGAAATTAATCTTTAGAGCTGTGAGTTCTGGAGGAACACAGAGGAGATGTATGCAGGTTATCCTGGCTCAAGTATGATCTGTTTAACCAAGATGGCTGCTCACGGCACAGGGTTTCCTCCGCTCCATACAATGGGCTTCTGGGACAAAGAGCCTCGTATGCGGCGACTTGGAGTTTGTGCGCTAACCATACGCACCGTTTGGTGGAGAGCAGCTACCTTTACAGGTGTTGGCCATGGTGGGGCTGACTGGCTGACTGATTCCGTGTCACTCAGTGGATATAATCATGTTATAAGATTGGTTTAATACCTTTATTTGTAATTGGATAATTCATTCAAAGTAAGGTTTTTAAAATGTGCAGTTTCTATTTTTGGCCTACTGACGATTTAAAACATTTGTACAATACTACCTGCAGCAAAACACAAAGCAAGGCTCATTGGAAATCCATGTATGCATGTATTTAGAAATGCAATTCTGACCATACCAACCCTAACCAAAATTTGCTAAATTATTGTAGTGAAACAAATATTTCCATGTTTTTCTATTTCGATAAATAAACTGACAAAATGTCAGTGTAATGTGACCTAAATCTTACATGCTGTGAGCCATTTGATTTAGCCATATCTGAGCATGAAAATATCGCTCTGGCATCTGGTGGAAAATAATCCCTTAACTGCTCATGTCTTGAATAAATGTGTGTGTCCTATCTTGTGAAATGACAATGTTCAGGCTGACAGTTCCTCCTCTCAGATTGAATTTGTATCTAGTTTATCTCAGTTTCTGGCCAAAGCCGCTGCCAGGGCTCCTGCTCACCTCGTTTTGCTGATGTATTTTCGTAAACCACGATCACCATCTCTCTAGAGGTTATTGATAATGGTCTCTCTGTTATTCTTTAGATTTCACGCTTTAAAAAAAACTCTTCATGGTGTTGGGATGTTTCTTCAACTGAACATAAAGAGAGGTGGGAGTTTCCAAGTTTTCCAAAAGTTTGTCAAATCATGAGAAATAATACAAGGATTTATAGTCCTAGTCCTGCTTCACCTGATTTTATTGATCTGTTCATTCTCATGAAGTGGGTTGCACCCTGAGATATCACATCAGCCAACTTTCTGAACTGCGAAGTTGCGCTTTAGTTAATATTGCTAAAAAGTTTCTCATAATACTCATAATACTCATAAATGGCTCAACGTGATAGAAATAAAACAATAATTGTTTTTCCTTTCTTAACACATCAGTGACAGGAAGTAGACATTTGACACTCATTATTGTGATAGTGGTCCAAGATGAGACTTATTTGAGACTGATTTTTTATTCCAAGCACAATGACCTTTTCAAAGGGATGCTTTGAGACTTTTTGTATTGGCTTTGTTCGATGTTCTTCTGAGTAGTTAGTACCTTGTAACACGCCCCCTAAGTATCAGACCAAATCACTCTCAACATCCTGTGCATCTCCATATCACAGCGTGAACTGTGGCAACCTAATCTAATCCTATGCAAAAATAAGCTTTTTGTTCAGTTGGTCAAGAGAGCTGTCTTCTTCTCTGGACTGTTAGTCATTTGGGATGGGCACTTATTCAGTTAGAAATTGCTGTCAGTATCTCAGATACCTTTTTTAGGCAAACTAAATGTCACATGCTTAGGACAAAAGATGAAGAAAAAAAAAGACCATCCACAGTTTTATTAGCAAAACGGCTGTGATAGTATAGGATGGAATCAGTGACTGGGGTTTAATTACTATGCATTTACAAGATGGCGGAATTAATGTAGAGAACATATTCTGTGGATGACTTATTTTCCCACAGCATCCATGACTTTTTGTATGATTCAATAAGAGGATAAAAAACTCAGTTCTGAGCACATATGAAAGGCATGGATGAGAAAGGATTGAGTACAGGCACTGGACTGCCCAGCCTCAAGTCCCACAGCCCGAACAGAGAACTTGTTGGGAATTCCATTATGAAAAGTAGGGTGATGGCCTTGTGCTGATGCTCATTTTAAGATGGATTGCAGGGGGTGTGTTACAAAGCAACATCTGGAGTGTTCAATCACTTAATATAATCTGTGCCAGAAAATGTTATTTCTTGATCCAGTACAGTTATGAAAAGCAAAAAAAAAATCTCCCTATAGATCTGAACACAGCATATTTAAACATGGAATGTTATTGATGAGGAAAAGCAATAAAAGAAGAAATTGCTTCACTCTGGATCATATGAATTATTTTATCTCAACGAAAGAGACATAACTGCAAATGCAAGAATTCCTTTTGCATTTCAGTCATCATGTGAACATTTTCTAAGTTGAGGATTTGTTCCCCATTGATTTTTTGATTAGGACATGAGACACTGTGACTGTCATGAAGCATTTTAGCACGGCACAAATAGTAGAAGTAAAGACACCTTTCTCGAGAAAAATATGAAACATTTTAACACAGTAAATCACAACATTACATGCTTTCACTTAGCAATATTTTATAGAAGAATTACATGCAGTGCCTGTTTACTATGCCTGGCCTATACAGTTCCCCAACAAACTGAAACAACATATTTTCCTATGAAAAGTAGATAGCTTGTGACTTTGAAAGAACATAACTATTTGATCTTGAAAAGTACAGAAACACAGAAAAAGGATGTACATCTTTCCAAATAAGAGCGCTTAAGACTGCTGAAACTTGAAGTTGGCATAGTCTTGTTTTGCCTCGTACAAAGTGTTTTTTTCTGAAACAACACTGTGACACCAGCACAGACGTTGCACAATATTCCCTACAATGAAATCACTGATGACTGTAACATGATGCAGACTGTGTTTGCTCTCTTGTGTTTACGCTGTAATCTGGCCATTGCTGTAATTGTTAGTCCCAGCCAACAATGTGATAAAAACCAATTTGACAGTGCAAACCAAAAAACATGTTCATTCAGCATAAAACACAGAAGAGTCCATTGGTGTTATTTAATTTTTTTTAACTTTAGATCACAACCACATCCTCATCAGCAGGACACTGAACAGTGCGCAGACGTAGTGGAGTGAGCTTGGTTGCCAGAGGGGGGTGCTGTTACAAAGGTCTGAGTCACAGCAGTGGATTCGCACCCCTGGTAGCTCTTGTTGCTGGCAGTGTCTCGACGTAGCACAGCCACTGGTCAGGACAATACCCAGAGCCGCTGGATGGACAGACAGGGGAGACAGTCAGTCAGATAAGAGTGATGAGCTGGTGTTTGGCTCAGCAGGAAAAAAGCATAAGTAAGCACCAAATGCTGCAAGTGGATAATGAGAAGGACATTTCGAGATCTTGAGAACGCATAGTGAAACCAGTCCATCAACAAATAGTGCACTTACTTCCCTTAGGTAAAGGAAATGAATGCTTTATGGCATTAGTAGTTTTCTGAAGCAGAACTTATAGGCTTCTTATATCTTTATAATCACTGGAAAAATACAAATAAATGAAGACCAGTATTTTAGATTTAAGACATGTCACATGCCATTCCCAACCCTTGAAACATAACAGCAGAATTGCGTTTCTCATCTCACCCTGGTTTGCAATTCTGTTAAAAATTCAACAACACTTATAGTCAATTGATGCCTTACTTGATTAATTACCATAATTCAGATATTCTAGATTTTTTTGTTATTTTTCACAGTATTGATTACCTTGTCTATTAGCATTCAGCAACCCAACAAGTTTTTATAAAGTATATAAAAATGTTCCCTGTCTACAGTTGGTATGAGGCAGATGTGGAGTAAGGTAATGTTGTTTACAATAGAAAGGCACCAGAGTTATGAGTTGGGGACAGATGTTTTCTGTTTTTGGACAAAGGAGGCCAGAACTCTAAGTCTCTTATGGAGCTTCACTAGCATCTATTTGGTTTAGGTTTTGCTGGGTCACAGGAAGATTAACATCCTGACTAGCCACAGATTATTACCAAGATTCTTCCACAAGATTTTGTCCAAGAGTTTTCTATCCTGTGTACGACGGGCAGCTCTTGTCTGTGCTTGTTATTTCTATGAGAAAATGGAAAAGGTGCCGCATCGGCCATTTTCAGCACTGGCACATTCCTGAGATGTTAAGCAAAGAAACAGCTGGATTGCCCACGCTTCCATGCATATTCACATCTGACCATCACCCCCCTGCCTTTGATGTCTGCATCCTCCATTAGACTTCTCATCAAAAAATGAATGACATATATTTTACTCAGCAAAGTACATTAAGGTTGCATAAGTATTCTCTCAACAGAGAGAAGTAGAATAGTCCATTAAGCAAGACAAATAACATTAAATTGGAGGCATGATAAAAAAAAAGATTATGCCAATGTTGAGGAGAATGTCAGAGGAAATATATGGAGACTTTAAAATATGTCACCTCATAAATAGTCCTCTGAGCTATAGGAGAAAGAGAAGCACAGATATTATCTGTGGAAGGTTTACTCACTACTCTCTGTCTTGATGCAGAAACGGTGTTTGAAGCCTTTGTGTGAGTGGGTGCAGGTGATGACCTCTGGGCTGGAGCAGCCCACGTCCACATACCTCTGGCCCTGGATGATGTTGCAGCCATAGCACTGTAGACTTTTAACTATCGCAGAAATAAAATAACAAGTGAATGCAGATGACAAAACTAGGTACAGCCAAGCAGAAATGAGCATGATCAAGTATCAGGTTTTTCACCGTGCACCTAATTATACCTATGGTACTACATACATTACAGCAAAAGCCTGTAACTAACTGTGAGGATGGATTTGAAGGCATTCGAAAGGAGCTGCCTTGTCGGTCCAGCTGAATCTGCCTCGGACAAAGGACCCTGGCATGAACATGAGCCATATGAGACCAATACTGATTCAACTATGTCATGTTACCACCTCAAATATCTTATTCGATTGTTTTTTTCTGTGGTGGAAAATATATGCCAGAGGAAGGACTGATCGTGATACAGGCGTATTTCAAATGTATTTGATCAGAAGAGCTACAATTCACAGCAACCTGTAAAGGGTTAAAAAAAAGACTACTTGATCTTATAGTTTCAGATTAATGTTTCATCAGTTTCTTTTTTATCTATGATTTTCAAAAGAAATCCTTGTGAACTCCATGAATTCTGTGTTTCCAGATCTAAAGTCAAGAATCAGATATTCATAATATTGAGTCATTTTGCTCGGTTTGCTTGAGCCTGACAGGTGTCTGAAAGCTCTGCTTTCCACCCTTCTATACAAACAGATTTACGGTTTGCAGGGAGGATAATGGTTTTATGACGTCACTGAGATAAGCATCAAAACACTGAAATGTTATATACTTGCATTCATCACCTTTTTGACTGCTTACTTTTCTTGTGTGTATGAGACCAACAAGTTGAATATCTCCGATGCACTTGTGTAAATGATTAAACTAACTTGCTACTAGTTGTCTGAGATGTGTTTTTGTTTAGTTTCTCATTTATTCATAGTATTTATATTATTTATTTTTTGTAATATGTTTTTAAATAACTCATTTTAAGAACATTTTTGTTGATCATTCAAAATCTATTTTTGATAACAACAAGAAAAAGTGAGTCAATCTGAACTCTATTCAATCTTGTTAAATTGATATTCTAATATCAAGATCCCATACACAACTCCAGAACTTAATCGAAAGAATCTGCATTTCCTTCAGTCTTTAAACCTTTGACTACATAAAACAGTGGAGACATGTGCTCTAGCATCATCATCATCTTTACCTTATGTTTAAGGCAGGAAATTGTACGAAAACTCTACACTTTAAAAGCTAGCAGCTTTTTTTGGGGATTGTGATGTCATCTGCTCTCGTATCCTCAAAGACTCACCTTCAGGTGTAAACTAAATCCCAACCTGCTTGGCTGGCAGCTGCAGCTAGTAAAATCAAAGCCGTTTTATTTACCTTAACACGCTGTACGTGTCAGCAGGATGCTGGTTTATTAAAATGAGTTTGGGTTTTCAGCTCAGAAACGTCTAAAAATAAATTATTAATTGCCCAAAAGCGTTTCATGCTTTTTCTGCCAGAGGAACTGGCATTGATTTGACCACGACGCGCGGCAATATAAAACGTATTCCAGCGCAGCTAAACTTCTACAGAGAATCCTTTTATCTCAGTTTTCCTCCTTTCACCGTGCAATTGTCTCACTTCTCGTATGTTAAACTCCTATAAGAAAGTAGGGCTAAGCCTAACTAGAACAAATCCACCGGAGCTTAAACGGATTGTCTCGAATTGAGACCGCTCACACACCTGTGCTTGTCTTCCAAAAGCCTACACACATAAGATGGAAGATCAGCTTTGACTGTAACCAATCCTTCCTCTTTATCTGTGCAGCCCAGTGGACTTGGTGTGAGGGCAGAGAGCGGGCTGCAGCCTCTCGCTGCCTCTGCTATGTTAAATAGCCCACCAAAAGCTCTGATGGAGCTTTCAGGAGCAAACTAATCCCAGGCAAATGCTCTTATAAAAATCACTTTAGAAATCTGCTGGAATCATTGTAAAGCCTTGCAGGGACACACAAGCACATGCCAGTCTGGAGGGGATGTGCCATATTCCCCTGTTGGTGATAGTAGAAACTCTGGTAAACACTCCAACATTTCATGAGAATGAAATTATGGTTTGGATATAAAAAACAAACAATGGGTCTGTCATTTGGCAGAAATAACTGATTTATAAATACGCTGTTCTGTGCTGTTACACACAGCTCTCATGAAAAATTGAAAAGCTGCCTGCGATAAGCATTTATCAACATAATGAGGCCACATTAGGGAGACAGTCAGCTCCAATGGTACAGAGTAATTTATTATGAGCCGACGCCAGTTCCTTTCCCAGGATGCTTTAAAAATGTTGATTAACTCTGTTGAATCTGCTGTGACCTAAATCTAGTTTTACTCATTATCAGTGCTGAGTATGTGCAAAACAACTCAAAAGACTCAAATCAGAGGACTATTTGTACAAAAAACAGTCTCACGTTAAGCTTTTAACTCACAGAAGGAGCACATTTCTTTATTGCATAATTTTAATGAATGATGGGAATGAATGAATAACTTAAAGTTAAATGAATGATGGTTTGAAGTTCTTTCCTATACTGTAATATTTCACTGGCAAAGCAGCTTTTTGGGTAGTGTTTTAAAACCCTCTAATTACTCATTAGCTATTTCAAATATTTCCCTCAATAAATAACAAGGATGCCATTTATTATCAGTATAGCTCAATTACAAGGATTTGTCAAGCTATTACAGAAATATTAGCATTTTCCAAAGAAACAACACTATTTAAAGGTCAAATCATGAATGTGTTAATGTTATAATTTTGTATCACTGACTGCCTCATTTGCCCATTTTGCTGGATGTTGATGTATCATTAAACAACCTATCATTAACCAGCAGGAGCTAACTTTACCCTGGTGTTTGGAGTTAGATTACAGCTTATCTGACTCAGATGAAACTCCGGGGTTCAAATTAAGCAAAGCAGCATCTCAACACACAAAATCAACCCATTTTATTTCCGTTTGAATTCCACTGAGACCACGGCTGTAGCCAAATAGAGTCTGGTCAATTGTTAGAGCTCTATAGGGAAATTTACTTTGCCTCTTGTACGGACGTTACATATTGTTGGGAGACATGGATTTGAACTCCCTGGTCAATTACTGCCAGAACAAATGCATATTCATTGGAATCCGCTTTTAGGAATACGGCTCTCCATTGTTTGATTGCTGACCAGTCTGCTTTCCTCACTTCCACTTTCGTTTTACTTAATTATTTTACAGATGTTAAGATCTTGTGTCTATGGCTGCTGTTTTTGGTTATTATTTTCTTCACATTCTAATATAGATGTAGTCTATTGCTTGTAAATTTGGTACTATAAGGTAAAAAAATCACTGTTTCTGATATCAGCTTGGGTGTACGCTGACACACACACACACACGTTTGCAGCTTATTCATATTTCTCTGTGCAAAACCACAAGCGACATACATTTAAAAATACATCCATCTCACCTGGTGCCAAGCAGAGTGCCCAAACCAAGATAAATCCAAATCCATAGACAAACCAGTTATGCAAAGTCATGGATGCAGCACAGGAGTGGTGGTCAGTGGTCTGTGCTGGAAGAGGCAAAGATTTCCTCTGCTCACATCTAATATTCCACTACACCAGACAGAGAGAAAAATTTAGCAGAGATCCTTCTTTCCAAACCCTGAGCAAGCCTGACTGTAGCTCTCCACCACTGCCTCAGCGAAGTCCGCACACTGTTTGAGTGAACCGATAGCGAGACCTTACTGAGAGAGAGAGCCAACCAGGCAGGCAAGCAGTCAGCTCAGCAGCCAGTCAGGCAGAGACTAGGGGGAGGAAGGTGATTGAGTGAAAGAACTAAATAAATGAATGTCTTCCTCAGTGGTCTCCTCACGTCCTGAGGGGGAAAAAAAGCTTTTGGAAGTAGCTGTTTGATTGCAAAAAATGAAAATAATCCCTTCTCATGGCATCTTGTGAAGAAATGAAAGAACCACCTTCTGTCATTCCAGAGATGAAAACAAACAATAAAGCACGGAGTGTCGTTCTTTTCCAGCTGAGACAAACACATCAATCAGGATTAAATCCTAATTGATAATCCATTGCTTCTAATAATAGCCCAATCACAATGCGTTAAAAGCCCAGGCACTGGAAGGGATGGTACACCAGCGGTTTAGGAGTGCGTGCATCTGTATGTCTGTCTCAGAGAGGAACCTATGCCAAAGGACGCTCAAACGCACAGACACACACACTTTCCGAATACGGTAGGTTTATCTCTGCTTGGTGTATCACTACACTCTCTCACAGGGGGAGAAAATTCTATCTAATCAAGAATTAAAGACTAAATCCTTTCTTAGAGACTGTAATGCCGGGGGATAAGGCTGGCTTTGTGGTAAGCCCTCATTCCATCCCCAACCAAAGCAGCATATGGTCTGGCCTGATAGATGGCAACCAATGATGGCTATCACTCTGATCAAGACATATTTAAAAAGACAAGTGCTGATGTCTTGGTGTTACAATGGAATGTAGAAAAGCTCTTATATGATTAGGGCTCATTTACAAGAAAGACAATGGCTAATCCTGTTGCTGCGCTGTTTGTGTATTTGACATGTTTCTGCTCCCACACGTGCTTTTTGTTATTCAGAGGGAAGTACAGCTGTGGGTTATGATGGCTTTCAGTTTTGGTTTCCATTTATTTGTTTGTGTGTCTGTGCTAGATTATAAGATCAATGGACTGATAGAAACTTTTTCATGCACATAATAAATACTGATATTTTTCAATCATTTTTACTATGATTCCCAATTTCCAGCTACCAGGTTTTGGTTTTTTGTCATATTAATTTATTTATATAAATTGTTCAGTCACACATTAAAGCGGATGAAAAATGCTTTGGATTAAAATATAACATGCAGAAACAAGTATGAGTACATTTTCGTAGAGAGGGTTATTAAAAATTCCAAGAAACCTTGAAATAAAGTGTTTGTTGTTCTATGATTCAAATACTTCAGGGAAGAATATAAATGACATCCTGAGGGGATATTCCTGTTTGCACAAAAGAGCAAGTAAAACTGAGGGAAAGTGTAATTATTCACTTTTCTGATGGTTAGCTATTTGTCTTTTTTACAGATCAAAAACCTGAATATGCTGAATTTTTTGTTGAGCTTTTGCATCGGGTTCTGTCATATTTGTATCAAATAAAGTTCTCAAAATGTGGGAAAAATCTTGTGATCAACCTATCAAAAATACATAGCTATGAAATTAAATCCTTCTATAGCAGCAGAATATTTTCTATTTGAAGGAGATTTTAAGCTTCGTCATACAATGATATATAATGTTTGTAAAAACATGATATACAATAAACTGACCATACAATCCTGTCTGCCAGTAAAATGTCCACACTTGGCTTTAAGCGGAACTGCCACAAATAATTAAAAGAGCTAAATTATACTTTACAATTAAATTATTATCATATATTTAAGTTATAAAGAGGATAGATTTGTGGGTTTACCATTGAAAACTCTAATATGATCACTTAGTTCAGTACTGGAGTAAATGTGACATTGCACCTATTCTTTATAATACTTTGAATCTCTTCCTTCGCAAGATTAAGTATACTGATCACAAACATTAATTGATTAAAAATAACAATTAAAATAGATGTTTTGACCACAATTAAACATTCTTAATTTTGCAAGGAATGAAGAATTTTTTTATATTAAATACCTAAATATGAAAGTTGATCACCACTGACATTCATTTTTCACAGATAATGATTGACAGCTAATAATTTAATTCTAGTGAAAAAACAATCATCAATAACCTTTTTAGTGATGAGTGATGAATTTGGGATGTTTCATGCAAAAATGGAGGCAGATGGTGAAGATCTGTGATTCAGAATGGCACAGTTCTTAAAGATATGCATCAAATGACTGGAAAATGTGTAACAAAAGATACAAGATCCAACAACATTCAAGTAATGTAGAAATATTGGAAAAACGTATGACTAGAACCAGAGAGAAGTTCCAGGTGAGTTGGCATACAATGCTCTATGAAAAGGTCATGATGAAAACCAAGAATAAATTAAAACAGGTGAAAAAAGCTAGATTCACATAATGCTCTTGTGCCTTGAAGAACAAGATTTCCAGTGTTATTCGGCTAATTCTAAAAATGACAGTACATTATACATGCTTGCTTTCAAACAGACGCACAATTCTCCGCTCCGAGATTTCTATTTGCTATGAATATGGGTAATGAATCCGTAATGTGAAATTTTCTTTTTGCATTAACACAGCTGAACTGAGTGCTGTGAAGCGTGAAAGAGCGGGCCTTGTAAATGTCCCCGTGCTGATGTGCACATGTAATTTTTGTCCCCACTTTTTTCCTCGCTCCGTCTTACAGCCCTTATTCATTTATATTCTGCTGAGCTGCTTGAGCCTTTGAGTGATAAAACCATGAAAGACGGGGAAGGATGAAGGATGAACTTGGAGGGGAAGAGAAGGTCCAGCAGCAACACAATGATGAAAGTGAGTTTCCCAAGCTGCTCCTGACTTATCTTACAACACACAATGGCTGCCTTAAATACCCTTGAAGTTCCTGCCAGTGGCGAGTTTAGAGTGACAGTGACAAAAATAGAGGGGAATACATGGCTTTAAATTCTTGATGAAATTGCAATTAAGACACCAGAAGAAGAAATGAGCTTGAGGCTGTACAAGCAATGACCAAAAGGAAAAGGAAACAAGGATGTTAGGAGGAAACTCATTAAAGGTTCATTCCAGTCTGTGAGCCTCAGTTTGGTCCTCTGTCACTGTGCATAACATTACTTGAAACAGTACTTTGAATTAAAACGGCAATGGCTGTTAAGTCTTATCAACCACATAGCTGTGTCACTGCAGTGTTAATAGGCAATAATCAGTCAGTGTTTGAGCATGTCGCCCCACAAAAAGCCATGATATTCTGATAATACTGATGTTTGAAATGTGTGTGCCCCAACATGTGTGGCTGTTATACAGTGGGACACTTTCTGCTTGCTTCCGGAGACAGTTTTTGTATATTTGTCCCATGATTATTGCCTTAATACTGGCACGGACTGAGGTTAATAGCCAGAGTCTTGAAGGGAAACTGCCTTTTAGGCTCAGAATATGAAGTAATTGAAAGTTTGACCAAATGTATGTGCCTCTGCAGTTTTACACCAAGGGGAGAGCAAAGCTGGATACTACTTATAGAGCAAATGACACTCCAGTGCAAAGGGCTTAGGCTCTGTTGTAGAAATGTAAGCAATTTTGAATTTTGCTTTACTGCCCTGTAAAATGCAGCTCCAATGACTTTCTATTGGAATTACAGACACTCATCGGCATCTTTGCTTATTTAGCAACATTTTCTCAAAATATAGCATTGCCCTTTATCATAGTTTATTAGAACATAATACTTCACTGCTTTGCGTTGCATAGTGATGAATAAACATACTGTGACAGATATATAGTCATATATTATTTTCTTAATTGTCCATTAGAGCAGGGTGTTTTCCAGAATGGTGTGCACCAATTTTACATTATGTGACCTTCTAAAAAGTAATAGAATCCTGGTGGCATCGCATCTTACTTTATGTTAGATTTACAATCCAGCGTGAGTAGGAATTCCCATTCGTGATGCCACAAAGACTGGTATGGTGTCTGAATCCACAGTTCAGAGAAAATACATAGTTGGCATAAGTCATCTGAAGCACATAGTCACTGCTTCATGCAGCATCTTAATAACCCATGGCATCTTAGAGTGGCACAGTCCAATCAGTGAACACATATTTCGCGCATGGCTGCTCTGCCTCTTTGCCCACAAGCCTTGGGGTAAAAGCCATGGTGCTCACTCCATCTGCTGCTGTCACCGGGGGTGCATTAGGTAGATTCAAAGAGCAACGCCAGCACACTAAACCAAAAGCCCGAGCTTTGCCCCTCTCTTCGACCGCCCTGAGACTTATATTTGCTCATCAGGTTAATCACCGCGGCACACAGCACACTGGCTGTGGATTCAGAGGCTTGTGCAGTCCATTGAAGTCATGTCATTTTGCACAACTTTATTCTCAGTAGCTCTCCAACTCCACAACAGTGATATAATCTTTTCATAAGTTTCTACTCTAAAACCTCTTCCCATACAACCTTTTAAAACAGTCTGGTAAGCTGTTATCAGATTTCAGAGATTATATTTGCCCCTACAATGTACAGAGGTCCGACTTCGTAAATCAAAGAATCCTTTGAAGGCTTGCCGGAGGGGCTCTGCTTGACATGTTTCAGTACATCAGTCGCAAAACTAATTGGATGTTTTTACTATTTTTTAAAAGCCTCCCTTAACCCAGGGTCAGCTTTTCGAAGCAAATAAATAACTGAATCGACACAGATAAGATGGAATAATATTTAACTGCTACCCTGTGTAAAAACCAAGCCTTAGAAACTATCAGCTCTGTAATCTCTTAATTTAAGTTTTCCCCTAAATCTTCGAGGCTTACATGCATCATCTGCCACACTAAGATCTTTATGAAAATCCAACCTGAAACACATTGACATCTGTCTCTCTAATGACTTTCATTTAGCATCCATTTGACCACTGAGTGCTGGTCAGACGTTGTGTTTGTGTACAAAGTAAAGCCATGTAATACATAACGCAGCTTAGACTGCAGTTTTTAATCGTCAGATGATAGATCCCTAATCGCTTTCTGATGTTGCCGATTTAATTCTATAAACACACAAATCTATAATTCAACACAAATCGATTTTAGAGTTTGTAATGGGATCTTATCGTCTTTAAACCAAAGTCAAATTTAGCTTTCTTGTTTCCTGTTTCTTCTCTCAGCTGGTTATTTGGTTATTTCATTGTTTTTAAGTGCCCGAAATGTTGTAATTTTAGTAAAAACAACTTGAAATCAGATTGCTGTTTGTGTAAGCGGGCTCTATAAAGGCAATGAAAATCAAAACATGCCTTTTAATATGCATCAGTAAAAACTTTAAAAGCTTCGGCTCATAGATAATTAAGGAATATTAAAAAGAAATAGCTTGTTTGGCTCATGTGGAAACAAAGCAGTGATTAAAGAAGGCATGACATCATTTGGGAAGCGCGAGTTGACTCATTGCCAGTAGCAGTGAAGGTTGACCTGAAAGCACAGCCATGCCACCACCTGGCTTTCTGTTGCACCCAATTGAAGCCACCACGGCCGTCCTATTGCTCACAGTTTTTTTTGTTGTGAGCCCTTGTTGTTTGAGCCCCACATCACCAACTAAAACTGAGCAGAAACTGTAGGTGACTTAATACCCTCATTGCCTTTGAGTGAACCCCGCAGCCCTCTCAGTTTGCTCAACAGATTTAGTTCCTGCCCTCAGCTGCCTGGTTGCATGTGTATGCGACAACATTAGTGCCATTCGCTCCAGGCTGTTACCATGGTGTTTCCTTATTTATGGTATGACAGCTCACTGGCTTCAAACTGTGCAGTAAACACTTTTGCTGCCATATTAGTGACAGTGTTATCATCCAAAGGAAACATCTCAGCTGAGTGCTTTCAAAATGAAACTGTTTTGAAGAAAAGCTGAATATGTTCAAAGCTGAAAGCTGTGTTTTTTAAAAATGTTTTAGTTTATTTTTGCACAGTGTACATTTAATAAGGTACATGTTTATGGGTGTATGGTGTGCTTGAGCAGTGTTTTTTAACAGCAGCTGGTCATAAACCACAAAGGAGACAAAAGATTGTTATAAATAAGTAATAGGCTAACTTTGTTGGAAACCTTTTATGTAATGCAAGTATAAGCATCAAGGATATGTATTTTATTTGGGATTTATTTTTTATTCGTATCCATATTACCACTAAAAAGGAGGCAAACAGTTCTCAAGTAAAATGGGCAGTGGATTATAATGATTAATTTTGCATGCACATGATACCTATCCACGCTTACAATATGTGTTTTAACACCTATGAAAACTTTCCCCATACTTTCTACGAGTTCTACGAGTAACGACCCAACAAGCAGTTTAATTCAAGTACAAAGTGCAGCCTTATGAGGTACCATTCCCAGAGCAGTAGGTGGCAGGCTTGAGCTGAAAGCGATAAGCTATACAGAAGAAGAAGAAGAAGAGAAGTAAAACGCTGCACGTGTTTCCAAAATGTCTGCCGACATGGATGTTGTGTTTTGAAGGGACATAGACAATTAAATGCCATTTCAGTTTGATTCTACATAGTAAAGTTATCAGCCCAAGACTGAAAATTGATAAAAGGGACAGGATGGCTCAGAGAAAGAAGAAACTGACGAAGAAGAAGAGGCACCCAGCCAACAGGGAGATGGACCTAGACTCTGACGGCGGAGATTTTGAGTTGGCTGCTGAAATTAAGAACGATGATTCTGTGAGTAACATCAATATCTGACAAAGTGCTTTTGTAGGGTCACCATTTCAAAATCGGTAATTGAGTTTAATATGCAGACACCTCATGACTTGCCGATCTTTACCGAGGATACCAGCCCTGCTGTGTGGGGGTATAGCTCAGTGGTAGAGCATTTTACTGCAGATCAAGAGGTCTCCGGTTCAAATCCGGATGCCCCCTGTTTTGTTTTTAAAAAAATGTATATATATATTCCTAGTTTTAAACATCAACAGTGTTATGTTAATTTACCCACAAATTGTTTGCTCAACTCTTCCGTCGTAGCAGCTCAGTTCCACTGTCCCGTTGTGTCTCTGCCAGCTCAGTCTTTACAGTTGCATGGAGGTATACAGTCATCACTTAATGTGGACATTTTCCAGTTAGAGATGATAAAGTAAAAATGGCTGATTTAACAGCTTAGATTGGTGAATGTAGATGTCTTCCCATTTCTTTGTTGACCCTATGCTGGACTATGGAAGTTTAGGTTTAGGTTTAACCAGACCACTTAACCAGGCCGCAAGCTGTCACAGAACAAGAGGTGGGCTACGTGCTGTTAAGGTGAAAAGGATATTCAATCTTGAAGGTACAGTATATTTAACTTTATTTGAAATGTGGACTTCACAGCCTGGGAGGAAGCTGCCCCGCTTTCCAGCTGCTTCAGACTGCTTGTCGGATGTTGAACCTGACACCAGGGAGCTGGTCAGAGCCCAAAACAAGAAAAAGAAGAAGTCAGGAGGATTTCAGTCCATGGGTAATTATGTCGAAGAAAAGTCTTCATGTGCTTTGACCGAAATAGTCAGATCTGCTATTTATCTACAGGTAGCATAGGTAAACTTGTTTAAATGTAATTTCAGGTCTTAGCTACCCAGTCTACAAAGGTGTCATGAAGAAGGGTTACAAAGTCCCCACACCTATTCAAAGAAAGGTAAGTTCATGTCACTTTTTAATTATTATTATTTTTTTTTTGTCAGACTTGAATATAATCTGAAATGTTTTATGATGATCTTCATCCCTTTAGACTATACCCTTAATCCTGGATGGAAAGGATGTGGTAGCAATGGCAAGGACAGGCAGTGGTAAGACGGCTGCCTTCCTGGTTCCCATGTTTGAAAAGCTGAAGGCCCCTCAAGCCCAAACAGGAGCCAGAGCGCTCATCCTGACCCCGACCAGAGAGTTGGCCCTGCAGACCCTGAAGTTCACAAAAGAGGTTTGTATCTACAGTCCGCCGGGGCTTGGTGCGATGTCATTGATCAAATCCAAACATACTATACTGATTTATTTATTTTTTGTACCGTCATGTTATAGTTGGGAAAATTCACTGGGCTCAAGACAGCTTTAATCCTTGGTGGTGACAGGTGCGCACCTTCTCTTTTATCTGTGCTGTTTGAGTAAGAATCCAGTTGTCTTTTAACTGTGGAGTAACAGTCAGAGTCTCTGCTGTTTTCCAGAATGGAGGATCAGTTTGCCGCTCTTCATGAAAACCCTGACATGTAAGTGCTTTGTCTTGAGGTGAACTGAGGAAATCTCCCTTGGTGCTTTTCATTATATCAAATCCTTCATCTTTCCTGCCCTCTCTCAGAATTATCGGTACCCCCGGCCGTCTCATGCACGTCATCAAAGAAATGAATCTGAAGTTGCAGAGTGTGGAGTACGTGGTCTTTGATGAGGCTGACAGGTGGGACAGCTGCGCGTCCAGAGGTGCGACATATGAGCGTGTGGGCTTGACATGTGTATGAGCTTGTTTGAAACTTCCCTCTCAGGTTGTTCGAAATGGGCTTTGCTGAGCAGCTTCAGGAAGTCATCCAGCGGTTTCCAGACAACAGACAGACTCTGCTGTTCTCTGCCACGCTTCCCAAACTGTTGGTGGAATTTGCCAGAGCTGGTAGGATCAGGATTCTTCAGCGCTTGAAATGATAACGCCAATGTTTTTGACTCAAAGCTTAGCCAACTAAATAAACTTTACGTCCAGGGCTGACGGAGCCGGTGCTGATTCGCTTGAATGTGGATTCTAAGCTCAGTGACCTGATTAAGGTAAGAAGAGGATTTTGCTAATCAGTCGTATCAAAGTTTCACTCCTTAATCACAACAAAACATACATTTATTTAAAAACTATATCAAGAAGAACAATTTGGAATTTAGTGTTTTAGAATATCAGTGTGGATGTCACTGTGGCCATAAAGTGATGAAGTCACTTTAAGGGATGTTTTTATGTGCTCTATCCTCTTAGTACGACATCTGAAGGGATTATCTGAAGTTTTTGGGTATTCTTAACCCAGCGATGCCTGTGTCTGAAGCTTATAGCCAAATCCGGGCTGCGCGTGTGTTTTACTTCCGCTTGTCTTTCATCAGCTGTCGTTCTTCCACCTGCGTGTGGACGACAAACCAGCTCTGCTGCTGCATCTATTGCGGAATGTCGTGAAGCCTCAGGAGCAGACGTTGGTCTTCGCTGCCACCAAACACCACGTGGAGTACCTGAGAGAGGTCCAAAAGCAACACAATAACTCTGCGTACCTTAAATAAGAGCTTTATATTAAATGTACCCTTTTTTTTTTACATTTATTTCCAGCTGCTGTCTTCAGAAGGTATAGACTGTGCCTACATCTACAGCGCCCTCGATCAGACCGCCAGGAAGATCAACATCGGGAAGTTTGTCCACCGGAAAGCCATGGTGCTGCTGGTCACCGACGTGGCCGCTCGCGGTATAGACATCCCCCTGCTGGATAACGTCATCAACTACAACTTCCCCTCCAAGGCAAAGCTCTTCTTGCACAGAGTTGGTCGGTTGTTTTTTTTTTTTTTTTCCTGCTGAACAAGTCTCTGAACGAGTCTGTCAGCTCCTCATTTTGAAAAAAGGTGCATGACTTTTTCCGTCCTCACCGCCTGTCTTTTCCCATCAGGCCGTGTGGGGCGTGCGGGGCGCGGCGGGGCCACATACAGTATGGTTTGTCCGGATGAGATGCCGTTTGTCTATGATCTCCACCTCTTCCTTGGAAGACCTGTTCAGTTTGCCACCCATGAACACGCGCAAGGTAGAACTTTTTTAGAATATTTAACGGATGCTCGTTCTGATGACTCTTTTTGACTAATTCTTCTCTCATGCTCAGTTCACTCCTCCGTGCATCTTTCTGAATGTTTCCTTGTTCCTCAGATTCCGACAGCGTGTTTGGCAGAGTTCCTCAGACTATCTTGGATGATGAGGGCTCTCATCTGAGCACATCTCATGAAAACTCCCTGGACCTGCAAAACCTTTTCCGCGTCTCTGAGAACGCCTACAAGCAGTACCTCAAATCCAGACCGAACCCCTCCCCAGAGTCAGTCAGACGGGTCAAAAATACCGACCTGTCCAGCATGGCCGTCCATCCTTTGTTTGGTCAGTTTGAGAAAGCGTTACCAACATCAAGGAAAGTGATAAGGACTATGGTGATGCTCAAATTGATGATAACATAAGATTGATTTCTATTTCAGGTTCTGGTTTGGAGAAAATGGAACTGGAGCGCCTTCATATCGTCGATGCCATCAAGACTTACAAATCCAAATCCGTGAGTGAGCTGCGGATACAACAGTGCGGTGTAATTTCCCGTTAACAAGCAGTGAAGCCTAAAAAGAAAATGTGTCTTTTTGTCTAGACTATCTTTGAAATCAACTCGAGCAGTAAGACATCAGCTAGTGAAGTGATGCGGACCAAACGCTCCAAAGACACTCGGCTGGTGGACAAATTCACTAAGCAGAGGGAGGACCGGGCGGCAGAAAGCCGGCTCCCCGTCCCCATCCCCTCTGCCTCCACAGCTGACGGGGACTTATCAGAGGAGGAGGATGATCTTAAGGTAGTTAACGTCCCACTTTTCGGTGTTCCCAGACAGGAAACCTCACCTTCTGTTATTGTTGGGTTGTAATCAAAATGCATTTCTGATGTTTACCTTTTGCTTCATATTCTGCCTCCCGTGTGTTTGACCTCTGTATCCCACACAGCTTTACGTCTGGTGAAACAAATCTGCTGTAAAAACCACTGCTTGAGCTAGAAGTATTAGTATGCGAACAGAGCTCCCAGCTGCATCAACACGTGCCAGTTAAAGCAACCGTTGGAAAAAAGAAAGTGTAGAAAATGCATATATTAGCAAAATCCTCTAACTTTACTTGGACATTATTGATTTAAGAAAGAGAGGAGACGTGAAAGACCCCTTTGGTCTGTCAAATTAAAGCTTATTAATGCCTTCCTTTTTGGTCCCTCCAGCTTTTAGAGGAACTAAATATGTGCGTGTGTATATATTTTTATATATATATATATATATATATATATATATATATATTTGTTTGAAAAATACTTCTTGGTTGCCAGCTTGATCGTTAGTTGCATATGACTGCCATGAATTATTGATTTTACTATTCATTTTCATATACATTTAACTTCTTGAGACATTTTCTGTTAAGCGTATCAAAACAATATACTTGTTGTAAACCTTTTACTACTAAATAGACGCACCCTCAACTTTTGCAGTGTTTGATGTGTCATTCTCAACATTTCCACCAGGGGGTGTTCTCTGAGGTGGTGGGTGGTAAGAGGAGAGGTTTGCCAGAAGACAGAGGAGAGAATCCAAAGAGCAAGAAAAGCAAGCAGATGGGCAAAGATGAGGAGTATTACATTCCTTACAGACCCAAAGACTTTGAGTCTGAGAGGGGGTGAGGCGCCAAACATTTTGGTATTTGTTTATTTTCCGAGTATGAATGAAAAGGCAGGTTGTTTTAATCCCATGATGTCCTGTTCTGTGTACCGTCAGGTTAAGCCTCAGTGGAGACGGCTCTAATTTTGAACTGCAGGCCTCCTCTGCTGTCCTCGACCTCATGGGAGACGAGAATGACAGGATGAATCAGCATAAAAAAATAATGAAATGGTGACTATTTTTCATTTGCTGTCTCATTTCGCACGCTCGCTGCCTCTCACTCTTTATGTCTGCGATTTACCTGTTTTTAATGCCATAACCTATGACTCTTTCACAGGGACCGTAAGAGGAAGCGTTTCATTAGACCGATGGGAAAGGAGGAGCAGAAGAAGATCAGGACAGATGGCGGCCAGGTCATCGTCAACAAGAAGAACAGGAAGAACTTGTATCCTTTTTTACAGATTTTCTCTGTGTGAGCTTATTTACATCACTGCTTCAGTCAACTCTTTTCTTTCTGACTTCTCAGTGTCTAGCAGTGTTTTATAACTTAACAAATTGACAGTTATGAGGAATGGAAGAAGAAGTACAGAGTGGATGATGCTGGATCTGGTTCAGATGGAGAGACAGGAGGAGGCGGGAGGAAGACAGGAGGTAGGACCTTACATAGAACTCTCACATTTTTTTATTTAATGTTTTTTAGGCTCTGTTAACCACTGCAGTAGGTTTTTAACAAATCAAAAAGGAATTCAGTGACTGAGCTTTCATATACGGGATTTAAACTATTGAGCAGTGAATTGGTTATAAGGAGCTTGAATGTTATTGGAAAGTTGAAAGTAAGAATCTATGTTTGTACCCTGTAATGCTGATAAACTCCACGCTATTCTCTCTCCTCTGCCACCTCCAGGCTTTGGCCGACGAGGCCCGAGCTCCCACAAATCTTCAGCTCCGAAGGTCACGGCCGGTGGCCGCAGAATCCGCTCCGAGCTCAAAACCAGCGCACAGATCCTGAAGCAGCGCAGGGTGAGGGAGAAGCAGCAGTTCCTACAGGGTGGAGGGATGAAGAAAATCCGTTCCAAGAACAAACAGTGGGTCGGAGAGGTGAAGAAGGGGGGCTTCGGACGCGGCTCCCAGAAGAAGGGAAAGATGAGGAAGAGACTGTAAGGCGGACGCAGAGGTTGCAGAGGGCAGGTTGTACCGTGAGGATATGTCTGAGGACTTTAAACAATGTTTTGACTATTAAAATATGCCTGTTCTTGTTAGTAACTGAAACCAAATACACACGTGAATCAGGCGATACTCTGTCATGTCTTCTTCTACAGTCAGTTTAGTCCTCACAGCACAGCTTCTGGTTCAGATCACTTCAACCAGAGGTTCACCCTTTGTATGCATCAGTTTGTTCTTCTGCAGTTGAAAGTCTAAACGCTTTTGGCGATTTTTTTTTGTTGTTCTGTAATGCAATATGACTTGTTGCTTTTTCCCTTTTTTGCACCTAAAAACAGAACAAATGGACCCACATTGTTGACAGCAAATTTACTTTTAAGAAGTTAAATAACCCCTACCGAATAAGATTAAGGATCTGAGATCGTAACTTCCTCAAAACTGCTTCAATTTATTGATCTCAAACCTTAAGTTGCTCCTTTTGCTGTAACCGTTTCAGTCTTGGTCAGAATGAGTCAACAGCTATACTGTGCCCTCTTGGGGAACAAGAAACACTGCATGCGGATCATTGATTGGACTGCTGTGTTTCAGGCTCCAATCCTGACACTTATTCACCTCAAGAGAGGAAAGAATGAGGAAAGCTCAAAATTCAAATAGATTGTCCTGTTTATGGTATGCAGCTGAATATTAAGTATGTGGTGACTTGTGTCTATTGGTCAAATGTATTCCATTTAAGAGCTGCAGCTTGGTTTGATTGCATTTATCGAGTGTCAACATATATTGTTTTATTGTGTATTATTCATTCTTCCTCATCTGAGAGGTATCACAAAATGACTGGCAGTCAGTCATCTGGCGAGGGAGAACTGAGTCATGTCTTTAGCTGCACTGAAGGTGCCAAACAGGAACACATGTACACCGTTCTTAAGCGCAGCAGTACAGTAAATACGAGTGTGAGTCCATGTGGACTTGGTTACAGAGCAGTTTTCTGATGATGTAAAACACCTATCCGCAGTTATTAATGGCTGCAGTCGCATTAGGGTCAGGACTACTCCATGGACACTCGTCTTTCGGGATTCTCTGTGAATGCTGCTAAGGATGTAGTTAAATGGTTGGAAGTTGGGTAATGTATTTGACCCAAACACAGCAGTTTCTATGGAGATCGTTGGAGGACGCACCAGAGAACCATCATACTTCATTCAAAGCACCTCAAATAACGTCCATCCATAACAACCACCAGGAACACCGTCTAAGAGGTAAATCACCACAGTAGACTACTCTGTGTTAAGTCCCTATATCGTTGATATACATTTCAAATCTTTTCAGCTGTTTCAGTTTGCTGCTATTTGGTAACTCCATCTACTTGATGGAGAAATCCAAATCATAAACTTATGTAAATGAATAAATGAATTCTCAGTTAAGTTACTGCCACTTTTACAGAGGGTCATATCCGCAGGTTCTGCCTAAAGAGTTGTGCTAGAGTTGGGTTAGAGGGTTCCTACATATTGTATACCAATAATCAATCTTAAAGGGAAAAATATAATATTGGTCTTCAAGGAGGATCAATTAAGAGGGCAAAATAAAATCTAGGGGATTTGAGCTGTCATTCCCCAAACTATGTGAGGCCAGCTTCAGGAGCACAGAACACTGTTGACGAAGGTATCAGTTAATCCTCGTGCAGAGATACAGGGCCACTATGGGCCTTAACTTAATATCCCACCCACCCCCTTTTGTCCATTTGATGGCCCAACTTCTGGTCCTAGCACTCTCTAGAGCTTCAGGAGCTCTCCAGTCATCAGGCACAGCAGCTTTATCTTTGTTTTAGTTTCCCAGGACTGACACAGCATCCACTTGAGATATGACAAAGAGCCTGAGCATCGGAATACTGCAGCTCACATAACGGAGGGATATAGCTGCTGAATGGTGTGTGTGTGTGCAGAGTTTGACAGGCCTGAAAAGGAGGCACTCCGCATTGCTCCTAAAATGCACACAACTGTTTAAACATTTCTAGTGAATCAGTGCAGAAATGCATTTAAATCTGTGTTTGCATAAGCACTGGTCACAGTTTTACCAGGTGACCACTCCTATTTCTCTATTTGTATCCATCATTCAATGAGCTATCATGGCAGTGAATAAGTTGTCAAAATGAAACTTACTTAAATCACCACCAAAATTAAAATAAGTAAGTGAACATACCAAAAAATTTAATCATTATAGATCGTGAAAGATGCTATTTCCAACTATTAATTTTTCAGTGGAAATGAACAAATGAAAGGTGGGAGCACTAACATACTGTCTATATGAAATGATTGGTTTTGATGTAATTTCATGGTCGTGGAAAATGTCAGTACTGTGAATAACATGATGCGTGAATGGGGTCTTCTCTCTGTCAGTGGTCAGATTTTTCCCATAGTTATCTCATTAATCTTAACCTATTATCAGAGCAATTATCTGTTTGCAGATACGTGTGTGTTTTGTGTGTTTCGGTCTTTCCCGAGGAGCCGAGGCTGCGGTCTGGCTCCCCCCTCTGCAGATTTCTGTGTGCTCCCTCTGATGATAAGATTGCTGCCCTTTTTTCTCAGGCTATTGCTGTCATGGCAGAAGGCCACTTGAGCAATGACAGAGCCAACGTGACAGACATTAGCTGCTCTTGCCTCAGCTCTTCTCGTTGTTCGATGCAGAGAACTGCTGACAACTCATTAAAGATGGGATCCCCTCCATGGAGTGGGTCTCATTTCTTATTTAATCAGCTACGGAGAGGTGCCCTATCAGTTGGGTTAAGCTACGATATTGGGTCAGGTTTTTGTTTGGTAGGTGTACTGTCCAGTTGCAATTACAGTACTGCAGCTTTGTTTCCGGATACTTATGAAGATATTTGGAACAACCTGCCACCAAGAGGCTTCAAGGCAACCCTGATCATTAGTATGATCACAAGAGGACTGCTGTAGCTGGAGCTATCTCTGGCCAAAATCTTCTTGATTAAAAAGAGGTTGTGTGGGATGTAAGCTGTTTACAGTTAGTTGATAACCAGAAAAAAAGGCTAAACGATGTACTTCAGTCAAAATACATAAAACCTCAAATTTTTGTAGATGAAATTTAGAAATTGGAGCCTGGAACTTATGCCAGCTTACTCAACGGGCGAGAGGCGGGGTACACCCTGGATAGGTGACACAGAGACAAACAACCACACACACTCACATTCACTCCTACGAGCCGGTGTTATACACTTTATTATGATTACGCTTATTCACCATATTAACCAATTTAGATGCCAACTTAACTAAGTTAATTAAGTTAACTAATAGTTTTTATATGATATAGACTTTTTCCTTCTTGTTGGATTTTTAGTTTACAGTGTATATATGTGTGTGTGTGTGTGTACAAAAAGAATTATTCATTAATTTAGTCAGGGAATAGGCTTGAAAGGGTCGACAACCTTTGCTCTTCTTGACAAAATATTTTTAGTAGTGTTCCTTAATATCCACCATTAGTTTGATGCTTAAGATAACAGTAAAAAATAAACACAAAGATAGTAATTTTGGCATTTCCATTTGTGAAGATGAAAAAAGTCAACAATTAAGGACATCCTGAGATTCTTATCATGGTGAAAGATGTCAGCTGTCTTAGGTGAATCCACAAGTGTGTCTCCTGTAAAACTATGCAGCCTCAAACCAAGGCTCTGCCAACTGGAACCTGAAGAGTATTTTTCACTGCCAGAGTTTTGTTTCTGCTATGATCTGTTGCTGCTGTCAAGCTGTAAATCTGAGTGCACCAGAGGGAGGAAGGAGGCTTTTCAGCAGGGGCTATTAGATCTACAGCAAGCTGCAATACAATATATGCTGTAAAAGTAAAATACAGCCAGCACGTAGAACTTTATTTTTTCCCCTTTTTTTTAACACATCTTTTTTCTGAGACCTAAACATCCCTCCACTCTTGTTTGGTGGCTTTTTGTCCCCAGTACATGAAAACAGAGGTTGCTAGCACTTGTGATTAATCCACGGTGGAAAAAGATCTTGCAAAAGGCTTTCTATTCATTTATGAGAAGTCTTTGAAAGTAAAAAAAACCCCCACAATCTTACAGGTCTGTTATGGATAAAATAGCCATTGTTTTAAGAATATTCATACTTATGGAGAAGTTTTTTTTCATATGAATCAGTGGGCACATCAGTTAGCAGTGAGTCATGCTGAGAAGGGAAACATGATGGTATGCATGCAACTACAGCCCAGCAACCCCTTGGATTTGGCACCAGAGAAGGTTATTTTGGGGGATGCTCCGTCAGAAAGCCCTTATAAAGTGGTCCTCTCTGGGTGGGTGGAAAGTACGTTATCAGCTACACTGTCGCTCCTTGATGGGGCCAACTCGTTTGCATCTAGTCAACACCTTCCACCTTCCCTCTCTGGCAAAGATGTGTCCCTGGCTGACTGAATCGACCCATGGCCTTAAAATAAATCTTTCCCTTCATCGCCGCATTCTTGAAAAGAATAGTTTCACGTTGCATTTCTTTCTTTTGTTACTCATGAAGCCTTCCTGATCCTTTTCCATGCCCTATCCGTCCCTACGTTTAACCTGCTTTACAGTCTTCTTTAGCCATAAAATGACAATGCCTACGCATAAACTAAAAAGAAAAGTAAAGATGGGTTTCCACTTCTTTTTACTTTTTCCAAGTCCCATGAAACCGACTTGTGTGCATATTGATCCAGGCAGTGAAATTTTGTTTGAGTTTGATGACTTAACCTATTGAAAAACTGCATTACCACATCTTTCCTCTCTCCTTTTTTCTCAACACATTTTTCCTTTCCTTGTCTAAGGAATGTTTTCCCTGACTCTCTTTTCACCCTTTGTGAGCTGTCTGTCTCTTTGTGGCTATGCACTTCATTTGTCTTCTCCAGGATCAGAGAAACGCTGAAAATCAAAATAATCACTGGTCGCTGAACCAGTGAGAGCGAGTAAAACGAACCCCAGTTAATAAGATGACGGTTTGTTAACACTCTAAACAATTATTTTAACAACAATATTAAACTCCTAGTTCAAGATTCATAATACACTCTAAGCACACTTTAATGAATTCATTCAATTTTGCATTTTAAGATTCTGGAAACTTCTATAGTTGCAAGAAATTGCGTGCAGCATTCTCGTTAACTATGTTGAAGAAAGCATTCCAAACTTTTTCCTCATCCAAAAGAAAATGTTTCTTATATATTTCAAGAAGATGTCATTTATAATTTCTTCAAAAAGCTTTCTTCCCAACCAGTTTTTTCAATGACTGAAGGATAGCCGTCTCACATGTCCTCAGTTTCTGCTGCACATAGCCAGCTGACCAAAAGATGGCAGTGTAGCCATTGATCAGGGTCTGACAGCAAGGTTTGTGGCCCAGTGATCTTTTTGGGTTGAAGCTTTGCCTGCTGGCCCATGTCTTGAAAATGAAAAATGACATTAGTGCCAAAAAAACAAGCAGCTGTCTAAAGCGGAATCTTTTTTTTTTCTTTTTTAGATCTGTTAGCATAGTCATTGGGGATAACTTAAGCGAAGATAACACAGGATCTGTAAAAGGGAAACGCAACGTTTTGGTGACATTATGCAGGTTTAAGGAAGTACACGTCTCCACACACACACAGCATAGACACACACACACACACACATATACAGCACAAATCAAACGTTTGGAAATACTTTTCCATGCACCTTTGGATATGCTGATGTTTCCAAACAGCTGATACTAAAAGGTTTTAGATTTTATTTCTGCTGTGTATAAACGTGGCAAAATGACCCTTGAATTTTCGTTAACGTGACTGGAGAGCGGAGGAAGGTGGTGTAACCCTGTCCATAAGTAGAACTAATAGTTTTGATTGGTTGACGGCTGTTTTCTCCTCTTACACTCCCTCCTACTTCCTCCCCTTTCCCTCATACCAGATCCTGGATGGCACGCAAGGCCCTGACCACCGCCGCAGCATGGCGCCGAGGGGGTGCAGTGTTTGCGTTTCAGTGTGTGTGTATGGTGTGTGTGCGGCGGGCACATTGGAGGGCCAGGACCCCGGATATGTTGTGGAAGTGTGTAGTGGACAGGGGCCAGACAGGACATGACCTTTTGAAGGAAGCTCAGGCAGCCTTATAGGCCAAGTTGCTATCAGTCATCCGTTGGTCCCGCCCCAAGTGTACCACTTCAAAAACACAGGAGGATTAGACCTCTGGTCAAGTCATTTTCGCTGATCATTTATATAAATTACCATGTTATAAGGGATTACAGGGTCAAGAAAGAATTAAAGAAACTGAGAAAAACAACAGTATATAATAAACTATGAATTGTCTTTTCACTATGTCTTCGCTGAAATCAAATTCTTCATTCAAACCTTTCTCAATTCAAATCTAGTCATTTATTGACAGAATCACATGTTTGCTG